CAACAATGTGATTAATGTGGAAAGAAATTTAGACAAAAGAGTCGTCTCAATAAACACATCGATATGGTACATAATAATAACAAATATACTTGTGATATATGCGGAAAGGCATTCGCAAGTAAGGCCTACCTCAAATGTCACACACCATCGATGCACAATGGCAACATACCTACATGTGATATATGTGGCAAGTCATTCGTCTACAAGGGCAGTCTCAAAAGACACATTGATAACGAGCAAAATACTACAATTCCTATGTGTAAAGCGTATGGAAAAAATGCACACCTAAGTAGTCTGAAATTATTCATTGATTTGCATAATCGTATTAAACATCCATGTTACTTGTGTGGAAATACGTTTACACAAAAAGATAATCTCGAGTTGCATATTGATTCAGTTCATCAAGATAAAAACCTGTGACACGTGTATGCGATCACTGCGATCCGTTAAAGTAATGCTCAGCCGAGTGTCGTCTTAAATCCTACATTGACTTATGTTGATGTTCAACTGTTGGATTTAAAAATTATAACTCATTTATAGGGCAATATAAGAAGTAAAATAATATCCATTATTAATTGTAGCCAATGAAATATTGAATCCTTCTAATTGATGTCAATTTTTTTACTTATATCTACGGAAATATGAAATTCGCAACGATTTGCAACAAATTCAATATCAAAACTATATGTATTACTTATGTAATTGTGGATGTATTATTTATATGTATTACTTATGAATAAAACGAATGTAAACCATTAACAATAATTACGAAAGTCAATCAGTAAACTCCAAGAATTTACTCGTCGAACGAGAGTTGTTTTCACACTAGTTTCTGAAATGCTGACTGCTATCGTACTGCTACTGATATACACAACGAAAACACGAAGATTCTTATAAGTGACGTCTTCAATTTTTCTATGTTTCTCATGGTGGCTAAATGTAAAAATGGTTCAAACCTATATTTGTTAAATAAGCATATGCGTGAGTGTCGTTATTATTTAGGCTTATGTACTTCTGAACGCGAAGGTTTTCAATGGTCACCCGTTGTCCACCAGAACCATTCATATCGAAATAAATCCTAAATCGTCATTGATCTTGCTCTTTATCCATCGAATTAGTAATTTCACTTTATTCAATTACTTTGAAATTCACGACACAAACTAAATCTTCCCGAATCACGATACAAAAAGCTAGCTCTGAGCTTTCTCGAACAATAGCAGTCAATAGTTATTGTGTTTTTCAAATAATCTGCAGTATGTCTTTGATCCAGTGGTTAGCAAGCTAAGCAAAAAGTTTTGATGCTCGTTCCACATAAATAGTGAGTGGAGAATCCCATATAACTTGTATTGCTACAGTCAGTCCATACATCACAAGTCATAACAAAAGCATTTATTTACCAACTTTTCTTTGAAAAGTGCATGTTTAGTTTTAATTCTTCTGGTTATTATATTTTTGATTTGCACTTGGTACAAAGGTACACACGTCTTCATTAAATTTAGAAATCCTGGTTTCTCAACAATTGAAATAGGGGCCAAATCCTTGCAAATCATGTGGATGAGGTTGGTTGTACTGTCTGAACGGAACCCATTTTCTGTATTAAAAAAAATATAAAATTATTTTCTGATATTAATGAATATTAAGTTATGTAGAATTAATGAATATTCATTTATTTACCTTGAAAAGAATAAATTTTTTCAAAAGCTATTCCAGGATTTTTTTTTCTTCGGTATTGTACAATTATCTTTATCTAACTTCCTTTTTCTCTCAGTTTTAATATTTTGAGATTTATGAAATTTAACGTTTACAAATAACGGATGAACTCTCAAATGCTTCAACATGTTTGAAGTGTTTCCACAATTTTTTATTTTTTTACTACAATAGCAGCAAATCAGATATTGTCAATCTGAGCTTTTGTGAACGTGATCTCAAATTATGCTGGCTTTCAACGTTTACGTACGTTTCAACGGTCAAACAACTGCAAAGCAACTACCTAGCTCTTGCCGTATGCACGTATCGCGAATTCTAATGTAAATAGACGTTAAGTTTGTCTTCTGTTTTTATGCGCATTTGTCGCGTTCGATGTTCAAATCATAATCGAGCCCTACAGTTTGAACTCCACAGTGCACGGCGCCGAGCGTACGCACATGCGCAGAATCGATTCTTCGTAAAATGGGACTCTAGAATCGGAATCGAAGCCATTGTCAAGAATCGAAAAAAGAGTCGAGTAGAATCGCACATCCCTACTCAGCAACCTTTGTGCAGTCCGAACCGCCCAGCCAGCTACCGCCGTATTTTTGTGCGTTTTAATTGAAGAGTGCTTTTTGTGAGTGTGTGTGTTTCCTTGATGCGGCACGATGCCAAAAAGAGGACGTTGTGTGATATCATCGTCCGACGACTCGGAGTCGTCGGACGATGAACATTCAAACGAGGTGCCCGAGGTTAAGGCGACGTCGCCACAGCCAGGTACGTCGAAAAAGCCACAGACGAAGGCCAAAACGGCCAAGTCGGTGTCGGTGACTTCTCCGAAAAACGTCATTGAACGACGAGCGCAGAAGCGTTCGACTGCATCGAAACAATTACCAGATGAGTGTCCCGAAGTGTCGTCATCGAAGAAGCCTCGTAAGGGCCGACAAACGACGCGCCCCGCTGCCAGTACCACCGAGGCAGAGGTCATCAGTAAAATAAAACCGTACTTTCATCGAAAGTATTTTCAGGGTTTACCTCTGACGGGGCATCGCATGTCCGAGGCACTGAAGCGTGCTATCGGTCCTTACGATTTCGTCGATAAGAATTCGATGGTTCTCGGATCCGGCGACGTGAACGAACTGAAAAACGCCTACGCCCGGCGTCTTGCCCGAATCCCTATTAAGCCGCTTTGCAAAGATGCAGATGCTGTTCTGCGCTTCCACAAATCGGATTACAAGCGATCGCCGTCGCAGGAGGCGATCAACGTCTTCGTGGCGAACCACTTCGGCATGTACATGCCATGGTACAGCGCGATAGTGGAATCGCCAGTGTACTTTATTTGTAAGGTGATCGCCGAGCGGTAAGTTTTTTCAATTACTTCAAGATAGCTTTTGTTGTTTTGCCGCGAACTTCATCGATTAAGTCTCTGCGCAGCGCGAATAAGAATTTTAAATTTTTGAACTATCGGTGACAATTTTTGTTCCCGATAGTTCACTTTTTACGATTTGAACTAACGGTGACAAAATTTGTCACTAATAGCACAAAAATCCCGGAGGCACTTGTATCGGTCGTTACCATTGATTTTTCGCGATTCGAACATCGTGACGACGCGACGTGGTGGATGCACTCGTGTCTCCTGTCTCAATCTCTATTTAATTTTACGTACAAAATTCGACTATTTTGAGCATTCATTTTCGCCACTACGCGTGTTGTACGAATCTCTCAATTTTCGAAAATCGGTTTTTGTACTCTACTTGGCACGTGTCCACGCATGTCGTCATTTGCTTGGCCGGACAATCAGTAAAACTCCTCAATTTTATTGCAGGATCAGGGATGGTACTTTAAGTCGCAACGATCCAATTAACGTGGCGTTGGAAAATGGCTTTCCAATCACGCATAAACAATTGAGTGTGATTGTGCATAAATTTATCCTACATTGTCCAAAGGGCAAGGACAAAGTGTTGCCCGACGAGACGGCAGACGAAGTCCTGGAGTCGATCCCGTATCCTCGTCGGCTGCTTAAGATAGAGATGGATTGTCTCCGAGGTTTGATGAAAACGGTGGCGTGTCGCCGAGAGGTCATAGAGCTGCTGGCCTTCCCGGAGTACTACGGGCTTTTCGAGCCACGGTCCACCTCGGCCTCGGTGCTGTTTTTCCTACAGCACGTGTACCAGGAACGGAAACCGTGGCAACGACCGAAATTCGCGCCTTTCGCTTCCCAAATATATGAAGGTCCGACCCTCGGGGATCAACGGCCGAAAGATCTCGCTGAAGTCGAAGTCGTCAGAAGCCGTGAAGCTCTCGCCAGCTTATGCGAGGTCGACGAGGATGACGACGATGAAGATGACGAGGTCGACGAGAACGACGAGGACGATGAGGACGACGACGAAGAGGACGACGAAAACGACGAGGACGACGAAGACGACGACGAAGAGGACGACGACGAAGAGGATGACGAGGACGACGACGAAGAGGGGTCCGACGTCCTCGGTGACGACGGCGGCGATGAATCGAGCGGGGCTGCAAGTGACGATAAATCTGCGACCACGAAGTAAGTAAACAAACGTTTAAATAACATTTTCTAAATCTCAAAATAAAATGTTTACAATTAATAGCTTTTTTTCCTGACAGATCAACCAAGACCTTGGATGATGGGTCCTTGGATCCACCTTCGCTCGTCGGTGACGTCTCCGTCGAGGCCGAGGTCGTCAAAGAACCAAACCATCTCGTTGATAACAAAGTCGTCAGAAGGCGCAGAGCTTTCAGCGTTTTACTCAGCGACGACGAGAACGACGACGACGACGACGTCGACGATTCCGAGTATAAAGAGATCACCAAACCTAACATCTGTGACACTTGTATGCGATCACTGCGATCTGTAAAAGTAATGCTCAGGAGAGATCGTCTTTAATTCCAAATTGATATATGGTGATGTTCAGATGTCGGATTTAAAAATTATTATTCATGTAAAGGAATCAAAGAGTGAAATAATGTCCATTACTAATTGTTAGCCGATGAAATATTGAATCCCTCAAGTTGATGTCAATTTTTTCATTTACGTCTATGAGAATGTTTAGAACACAGCAAATTAAATAATAAAACTATATGTATTACTTATACAACAAGAATTAACTATATTTAAACTGTAAGCATAAAAGTGTGAAAACCATACATGTAGTTGAGACTCGTCAAAAAATATCATAGTATCGGATAATTCCAGAAAAACAATAAAACGAGGTATCTAAACGTGTGTGAATTGGATCAGCTATCATGGATATTGCTCATAACGTAGTCCTGCATTAGAAAACCTAAAATATGTTGATATCATTTGTCTATAATATTTATTGCCGATGTGTTTACAGTTACTATATTCATTTTAAAAGTACAATTTTTTATAATTGAGATCAAAAGATTCATTGCGTTAAATTAACAAAAAATTTCTTTGTTAAGTTCTGTAACAGCCAATGCCACCGAAATGGCGAAGCATTCTCGTGTCAAATCGGGACTTCGAGCGGCTGTATTATTATTGATTTCTTCTGCGCTAATTTTTTTCACGTCTTCTTCAAACGCCACCACGCTCTTTTTTCCTGCCAATGGAAAAAATTTCACGTACATCAAATGATCGCGAACCTCCACGATTTTCGCTGGCCAAAAATTTGACTTGTACTTTCTTGCTAGCACGATCTGGCCGACATGATAGCGCAGAGGAAATCCGTGGCTTATTCGTTGCATGGACACGACTGGCTCGAGATCGAAATTTACGGGCACCGCGTCTGATATAGATAGACGAGGCTGGTTGCTTGCCATCAAAATTGGTAGATTATCTTCGATGAGATCCATTATATTTATTTGGGGTTTAGCAATGTCGATGGCTGCTTTACCGTCACTGGAAAATTAAATATAATTTTAGAGTATAACATTTTATCAACTATTTTTAAGATATTTACGTACATCAATTGAATTGATGTTTCTTTTATAAATTCCATCTCGTCCGAATCGATAGTAATGAGCGTCAAGTATAATTTTACTGTTGATAAGCAATCTTTATCTTGTAAAAACTTTTCGCACTCGAAAAAAGATCGAGCCGATTCAACCGTGTGACTGTCTTGCAGCGTGTCTTCTGGATACCCACACAGTTTATTATACAATACGGTCGCCTTTTCCAGCCCGCAACGATATATATCTCTATATTCATCATCGTATCCGTCTGGATACAATAGATATTCGACGCAAGCGACTGTCAATATGCCACGATTTATTCGATACAGTTTGACTTTCTTCAGATGATTAATTGTAAAATCAAGAATCGTACGTTTGAACGTGTCCAATTCCGAAAACGTAGGTGTACAGTTCGTAAATATTTTCATCGCCTCGCGCAGCATATCGATTAAAATTTGGTTATCCTCCAACATTTCGTTTTGGATTTTTTCACTAATCAAATATCGTCTAAAGAGAATAATTTTATTTGCGTGAGATTTCTCCAGAAAGTATTCTCGATCCACGTAAAGTGGCTCCCTTTCGGATTCGTACACAGGGTCGAGTGGAATCGGCGAAGTCGGCGGCTGAACTTCGATGGGATCGGCAACGTTTCCCGACAGCTCGTCAACGTCAATATGTTCATTTCCAGTACTGAAACATTCGATACGATTTTGGAGTAAAAATATTTGTGTCGACCATATTTAAATTATTCACTCACATCGCTTGAATCGATGCTTTCCTTATGAACTGCAGCTCTTCGTCGTCGATTACAATGCTGCGCAGGTACGATCTAATTTTGTCCAAGCAGCTGGTTTTCTTCAAAAACGTGGGACATTTGAAGAAAGATCTGGCCGATTTGATTATGGCATCGTCGAGCTGAGCTTTGTCCGGAAGACCGCACAATTCTTTATACACCTTCTTCGCCTTCGTGTCATTGCAACGATATACCTTTATGTATTCTTTGACGTGTTTCTTGGGGTACAGGAGATATTCGACACAAGCGACGGCCAATATTCCACGATTCACCCGATACAGATTTACTGCCTTCAAAAAGTCAATCGTAAAGATAACAATGGTGCGTTTAAACGTGTCTAAATACGATGGCGTATATAGAGAACTCGCAAATCTTTTCATCGCTTTAGCTATCATATCCTTTAAAACCATTGTATCATCTAAATCTTCTTCTTCGATGTCGTTGTTTATCAAATAATCTTTTAAATTAATAATAGAATCTGCATATATCTTGTTACGAAAATACTCTTTGTTCATTGGAGGTATACCCTTTTTTGGCGTATCTTTTGCTGGTTTCGATACGACCGATAAACAAGCAGGATTTACCGACTTCTTTCTTGGTATTATTCGCCTAGGCCGATTGTCGTTCTTGGGTTCTGGAACTTTGACGATCTCGATATCTTCGATACCAGTACTGAAAAATTTGACAAAAATTCAGAGTAATAAAATTATATTAACCATTTTTGAAATATTCACTCACATTAATTGAATCGACGCTTTCTGTATGTACAGCATCTCGTCACTATCGATTTCAATCTCTTTCAAATACGATCTTATTTTTTCCAAGCATTCGGGTTTCGCTACGAACTTAGCGCAGTCGAAAAAAGATCTGGCCGAGTTAACTATGTCAATGTCTTGTAGCGTATCTTCTGGAAAACCACACAGTTTGTTATACAGCTTGGTCGCCTTTGCCGGGCCGCAACGATATATCCTTGTATATTCTTCATCTTCATCTTCGGGGTACAGTAGATGTTCAACGCAAGCGACAACCAAAATGCCGCGATTGATTCGATACAGATTAACTGTTTTCAGAAAGTCAATTTTAAAAGTAAGAATCGTACTTTTAAACGTGTCGGATTGCAATGTGTGGGGTTGACTCTTTACGAATCTTTTCGTGCCCTCACGTAGTATAGTCTTCAAAGTCTTATCATTCTCTAAATGTTCTTCTTCGATTTCTTTGGTATTCAAATAATTAACTAAATTAATTATAACGTCGGCATGCGGTTTTTTAAGAAAATATCCTCGATTCATTAAAGTTCGTTTTTGCGACATTTTTCCCTTTCGACTGATGCTCTGATAGTGATCAAATAATAAATTTATAAAACTATTTAATGTTTAATTAATCTATTCTGAATAAAATATATTATTCATAATGTTACAATTTGATGTGTGGAACATCCGAGAATAATCACGATTCTATCAATACTAACAGTTACACAAACGTACCATCATCCTCATGTCAACATTGTATCCTCGCGCTCAAATACATACCTATATAAATACAGTAGTCAGATATTACAGGAAACAAAAATTTCATAATTTTTTTCTCTTAAGGTTTTTTTATGATCTTGTTATAATCCTTTTCTTTAAATCATCCAAATTCCCGTAGTTACTTTAGTAAAAAAATTCAAGAACCGATCTTTAGTAGGTGGCAGTGACGATGTAGGCGACAAAAATTTCAACACATTTTCTCAGTATCCAACTCGAAATCTACAGTGCCTCAGGAATGGTTTTGGAAAAGAAGCCAGCTGCTCTAATATTTTGGCTTTTCATAATCTTTTGGATCTTTGATGAAAAATTCGGGTTGATATTCGCTGTAGCCTTGAAACTACGTTAAAAGTTAAATCCTAATCGAACGTTTCATCTGTCGTAAAAAATACGCAGTACGAGCTCTTTGTGTATGCTTGAAAAAATAATAGTACTTATTTAAAAGATCCTTCTAAATATGAGAAAAATAAACTTATTCTGCGAGCTTTCCAGAGGTTTAGAAGTATAACAAGGAACGTGGACACTTCATTACGTAATTATCTAGTAGCTGTAGATTGTATAGGTGTTCATTAAGGTGGTCCACTTTTTCAAATTTTTTTGTAACTTGGTAGTTCTGACACTCATTTTTATGCCTATCGCATAACTTCCTCTATGAGAAAGCAAAATAACTATACTTAAGCGCAATTGGAAAACTTAATATGGAGTATTCGCAGTGTGCACGTGGATGGAGTGGATGGCAGCGCTGCCATCGATTTTCACGTGTGCTCTTATGGAAAAGACTTCCAATTATGCTAGCGGCGCTCACTGAACTGAATTTCTCCTCGTAAGAAATAACATGGGAAATGGTTTCTAGTGGAGGGAGCCATGGGTGTCGCACATGACCAATACTCAAGGACATTCACGGGTACTTGAATTTTTTATGACTCGAGACGATAACTCGACGAGCCATATACGAGTCGAGTTTTTATTCAAAAAATCGGATAAGTCAAACCGAGTGAGTTTTTTCTTTTTTGTATTTTATTATGAGAACTCACCTCCTGCGTTTTATCTGATGCTATAGATGTGTAAAGCTAAACAAGAGACACGAGGAGAAAAGGCGAAAATCAATTTTAACTGTTTCGATGGAATTCGAGGCAAGGATTTTTGAGAAGGAGATATTCAAGGAAAAGCAACCATGAAATCGACGTACTCATAATATCAAAAAAGTAGATAAAAAGTTTTAAATTACATTGGAAAAAGAAAACATCTTCGAAGTAGCTTCAAGCATTGCATCCATTCTCCTTGGCTCTCTTGGTCAACTTGAGCGCGTCTGCGACCTTCTCGTACAGCCGATACCTCCTCTTGGCCGTTGGATTGGCCGTACCCGGCTGACACTCGATCGCGCCGTTGATGGCTTTGGTAGTGGAGCCGAACCAGTCGGGCCGAGGCCTCAGCAGCGGCCTCACGCGATCGCGCCAGTACCAGGTGCTGACCAGCATCGCCAGTCTCGGATCCTTAGCCACGAGCTCGGGCTCGCGCAGCAGCCGATCGCCCATGCCGATCGCGCTCGAGGCGTCCCGATAGTTGGCGGCCCAGGTCAGCTGTATGTAGCCGCGGCCGTGGTAGCTCTTGCCGGGCAGGCCGACGTTGTCGCGATAGACGTCGCGGCAGCGATCGGTATTGGTGCACACTGCAATCGCACGCACATATGACAGACATGGTACGCGCGTATAGGTACAATTGATTATTATCTCGAAGCTTACCGATCTCCTCGGTGTAAACGAAGCCGCCGCTCTCGTGGATCAGCTGGGCGATGAGCATCGCTGCCTCCTCGCGGCTGAAATCCTTGGTCTGCTCGGCGAAATTCTCGTAGACCTCATCGGCGGGCTTCCGGTAGCCGTTCGACGTCACGGCTCGGTCGAATTCCTCGCGAGAAACGTACGCCTGGCTCGCGCGCAACAGCTGCACCAGCACGAGAGCGACGATCGTTATCGCTCGCCGTGAATCACTGCGCATCTTCGCACCGAGTGAATCTCTCTGCGACTACTATACTCCAAGGACGTAACGGTCTAATGGATAATTTTTTCCCTCCTCGCGATCGGCGAGAGCGAGCAAAAAAAAATTGTTCGATACGGTTCCGGTGTGCCGATTGCGTCGCTTCGGATGAACTTTTGTCAACTTATAATATCGTAAAAATTTATATCGACGCAGTGCAAACAGTTTGACACACGTGCTCGGCTTATGCATCGGCGTATCACGCAATTAGTCGATTCTTAATCATGTTGGGTGTGTTTCAGTGGCATATTTATTTTAACTAAATTATCGAGTACACAACATTTGTCATTTACGTTTCGAATCGAACTTTGATTCAGTTCAAAACATATCGATCACATTACTTTTATTAATTGTATTTACAAATAATTATAAATGAGATCCTTAAATTAATTAGTCTAAAACCACTACTGAAATCCAAGTGTCAATATTTCAACTTGAAACTTCTTTTCAACGAAAAAACGACATGCATTCCTCGCGAAGACGGAAAAAAAATTAGATAGAAATGAAAAATTAATATTCAATGATCGCGTCACACGCACACAACGATCGCGGATACGAAATATGTCAATTGATAAATACAAATGGTAATGTACGGCAATAATAATAAACGTATGAATTTCGCAGTCGACTTCCTCTAGCGAAAAACAACGTGCGCCGCATCATCGTCGATGAAGTGAAAAAAAAAAATTATGTAATTCAAACAAAGTCGCGCGAGCGTATAAATATAATTATATGTCTTAAATTGTATTATCATTATTTAAATACAAAGATCCTCTATCATGTATGATTGGGAAGGCAGTGGCACAGTCGAATTATTATGTCGTTAATAAATTTTCTAAATTATTCGGACGGTCAATTGTAGCAGCCGTTCTCCTCGGCGAAGTTGCTCACGTGCAGACTCTCGGCCACCCTGATGTAAGTCATCCATCGGCGATGAGCCCGCTCGGGATTTCTCACGCACTCGTACGGATTGAGGGCCCTGGTCGTATCGCCGAATCGATATCTCGGCCGCGACGCCGGCCGCAGATCGTTGTAGTCGCCGTCGTCGTTGCTGCTCTTCGGCACGTGGACGATCTTCGGCCGGACCTTCTGCTCCCAGTACCAGACGCTGACGAGCATCGCCAGTCTCGGATCCGTCGTCACGAGGTCGGGCTCGCTCAGCAGGGTCTCGCCGTAGCCCAGTGCGTCGGAGGCCGCCCTGTAGTTGGCGCCCCAGGCGACCTTGAGATAGCCGCGGCCGTGATAGTTCTTGCCGGGCAGGCCTGACTTATCCAGCGAGTACTTGCGCAGGCAGTGATCGCCGCGCAGACAGCCGAGGTCCTCCTTGATCATGAAGCCGCCGCTCTCGTAGAGCATCTGGGCGAGGAGCATGGCGGCCTCGTCGCGGCCGAACGAGCCGCGAGTGATCGCCTCGACGAAGTTGCGATAGGTCTCGTCCTTGGGCACGAGGTAGCCGGCTCGATGCACGGCCCGATTGAACTCCTCGTGGCTGATCATGTTGCTGCCGAAGACGTACGAGTGGCCGGGCTTAACGATAATCGGTAGTAGCAGGACGATCGAGATCAGAAGCGCAGCCTGATGGGACGAACGAAAAAAATATATAGTGAAGGGTCGAGAAATAATTTCTCGTGGCGTGATGCGACGGAAATTGAGTGACTGATTTATAAAAAATTTTCGATCTAAGGCTGAAAATTTCAGTTAGTTTTGAGCTTAAAAAAGTTTAGAAAAGTCTAGAAAAGTTAGATAATTTTTTATTTAGAAAAATTTATCAAACTTCACTCACTGAGAATTGTTTAGGTAGAAAATTGTCAAAGTTTCGATTTTGGTAAGTTAAATAATTGTTTATTATTAATGTTAATTCGTTTCGACAATGCTTTAATAATAAATAATCATTTGACTCATCAAAATCGAAACTTCGACAATTTTCTACCTACATATAATTTTTTATTTTACTTTATTTATTGAAATTTTAGCTGGTTTTAAGTTTATGTACGTTTATGAAATCGACATATCATAAAATTTGATAAATTTTTTATTATTTAAGATTATAAAAGGGTATAGCAATTTTTCAAAGTTTATTAATGTCAGCACAAACTCGAGATTTCGGTCGGGGCGTGAAAAAAATGATATTTTACCATGATTTAAACGAGATATTACACAAACGATTCGCTCTTGGTCATTTCACAAGACATACTGTAAAGATAAACACGACGACCTCGTCATTTTTATACTCTTGCATATCTTTGCCCGTGAAAAAACACGTGTGCGTCTCTTGCCCAAATGTGCGTGTTCACGCGATCTAAGTCTCGGGCTGTCGTGATAATATGCACTTTTGAGCGGAAGAACAATAGTGTTTTTCCGTGCGGATTTTTTCCTTTTTTTGTTTTCCTGGTCACGATGCAAATACACACACGTGCGTGACCCGTGTGCCGATGTATAAGCAAATAGAAAAGTCAGCTATTATCGCGCGCACGCCAGGCTAAAAATGAAACAACAAGATTTCAGGATTCCTGATAGGTATTTTTAGAATTTTCGAAGAATATACGTTGTCACGCCATGAGATTGTCGATTTTGACACGTTTGTGTTGACGATTTTTTAAGCACACAAATTTATTTCAATAATGCGACTATTGATTTAAAGCTTTGATAATCGCAAAATATGCTATAAAGAGTTCGACGTTTAGTTGGTAGCAGTACGATGAATTTTTTATTTTTAAATAAAATTCAAGCAAGTGTTATATGCTATAATTATAAATTATATTAGAGTACGAAATGATTTAATTACATTATAATTTCAAAAATGAAATTAAAGTTAATTACAATTTAGTGTGATTATATTACATCGTGGTAAAAATTATTTAAAAAATTACAAATACAATTGTCTGATGTTCGAAGCGCATTCAACATAACTCTGGTCAATAATATTATTGCATTGCAGAGCGTCTACTCGACGTGGCAAAGCATTTTGTTCAAATTGATACACTTTTACTTTTTTCATTGTGCATAATACTTGTAATTCAATAATTAGTACAAAATTTTACAAAAAAAAGAATTAACTCAAGAATGTGTACACTTATAATTTGGTAACTTCCAATAAAAGTTCAAATATTCAAATCGAGAGGCCAAAAACTGACACGATGCAGTACATTGTTTTATTTTCCCAGCGTACTGTGCAACTTCCATCTGTTGCATTATCCCAATAACACGAACTCGCCGTATGCAGACCAGCTCCATTTTTTTGCATAATTGTACAGGTGACAATATATTTATAAGGTTTTTGTAATTTGGTTAATTGGCCTAGACATGTCTCCACCACGTTAGAAGTCCACTGATTCACTTTACTATGAGTATACGCATTTCCACCAATTGCCACTTCAATAGCTTCTTTGATTATGCGACTGACATCGTCCACAACAAACTGGGCTTCTTCTTGCATATCCTCCATTATCAATGATTTATTATAAAAACTTGGCACAGCAAAAACACAGATGTATTGAGTTATAGTTTTTCCTTAGGTAAATTGACACTCTGCAAACCCGACAATGATTTTCTGAAAAAGGATGAAAAACGAATGTAAGTAATTATTTTTAAGATCATGTGCAAAATTAATATAATATATAAGTGTCACCGTACTCACAGCATTTTCTGCTAATTCAAAAACATTGGTTACTCGTCAGCTGTTCATCCAACCAGAGATTTAATGATCCAGTGATTCGGGTCAGTGATAAAAAAATAATAAATATAGGCACTGCAACCAGGAGAGGAGTTTTCTTAGGTTACTAAAGTAACTCCAAACAATCACAAAAGGCAAAACATTGCAGAAAATAACCTGACGTATCTATGTCATCACCGGTGACGTGTTTCAACTATCTTCCTCTAGCGGTAACATTCACAACTGCTCCGCGAAAAGTTCGCAGCAAGCGATATTATGGAATGGGGAGAGATTCGCAATTCGCAAACGGCATGCTTTTGCGGCCTACAGGTACTCCCTGCCATAGTAGAGTTGCCAATACAGACAATACGGTCTGCAATCTCAATACACTATGTGACATTGTTGAATTTGTAAAGTCGTGTGCAAGTAACGCAACGCTGTAACGATTTTCCGATAAGACGATGGTTGTTTGAACCATTTTTCGTGGGAAAAAATTGAGAACAATTCGATAAGGCAAACTCTGATTTGACAGGCAAGTGTGTGTTTATAAAACGAAATTCTATATCACGTCGAATTTTCGATAACGTTTATCGTGGATTAATTAGGGTATTGAAAATTCGAAAAATTTGCACAAAAACTGTTATTGAACAGTCGTTGAAATATAAATATAAATAAGTGAAGAATAGTCTAATTGATACATTGATTTTGATAAATTAGATAAAATAATAATTCTTATTTACAAACTTCAATACATTTATTTATTTTTTTATTACCTATAATTTTCCAGAACTTTGAGCAATAACATGGCTGCCAAAAATAATATAACAGTCCTAACTCCAAATGGGCGAAGACCAGCCATTGAAGTTAATCAGAACACAACAATTTTGGAGGTAAAATCATAATATCAATTCCATTTAGAATTTGAATTACTAATTACTTTGATTAATACTTTTGCAGGTTCTTGAAAAAGCTTGCAGCAAATACAACTTCAATCCAGATGAATATGATTTAAAGTAATGTAACAATTTTCTTTAAGGATTAAGAAAAAAGAAAACATACTCAAATTATTCCTATTCAACAGGTACCATAACAGGATATTGGATGTTGATTTGACCATTAGATATGCTAATATATCCAATAAGGCTTGTTTGGAGATGGTAACTTGTAAAAATCCTAGAAAAGTATCAAATGTTACAATATGTGTTCAATTGGAAACTGGAGATAGACAGACTGGCGAGTTTGCTCCAACTACATCTTTAGAGGCCATTTTAAAAAATTTAAATATTGAGTATGATGTTGAAACTGTAGTGATCGTTTATACTCAAAGAAAAGTATGTATTAAATTTACATGCAATGAAATAAAATTTAATAATTTAATGTGAAAAAAATTTCCAGATTTATGGCAAAGAGTTTGAAAATCTTACATTAAGATCATTAGGATTAGGAAGTGGCAAAGCTTTGTTCAGGCTGATGCATAGAAATCCAGAGGAAAATAAAGAACAAGCTCATGTGTACAATATACCTCAAAAACCAAAGACTTTTGAGACTGTAGATGATGATGAATTTGTGTTCAAGCGGACTCCAGCCCCAGATCCTAAAAAAAGTAAAGTGTTAGATCCAATTTCACTTATAAAAGCAGAGAAAGAATCTCATAAAAAATGTGATACCAATATTAATGATACAAAAACTAAAGTTGCTGCTGAAAAACCACTGAAAGAATCCTTATCTTCTTCAGCCTTAAAAAATGAAAGAGAAGATAACAAAAAATCTAAGCTTTCAGAAGACGTAGATTTAGAAAAGAATGAAGAGGTTGAAGACAAAATTTTACAAGAAGTGCCTGAAGTTCAAATTGTGAGTATAATTATTATATAAAATTCACTTTTATTACTTGTTTTACATTTTCTATGATTGTTTAGATAGGAGAAAGAGATGCTCTATTATTCAACCAAGCTGGTGCAAAACCAATGAATCAAAATCCTGTACCTGACAGTTTTTTTGAAGTCACAGTGAATGATATCAGAGCTTTAATTCGTGATGCTAGAAATGCACAAAATGACGCACCTCTTTCTACAGCAGCTATGAGACAAAGAGATAAGGATAATGCACAGATGGAGCAGCTCCGTAAATACAAAACAGTAATCATACGTATACAATTTCCTAGTCAGCTAGTTCTTCAAGGATTTTTTACTCCAGTTGAAACGGTGCAAACTATTAAAGATTTTGTAAAGACTTACCTTGAGAATCCTTCAGAAGATTTTAATTTATGTGAGTAGGAATGAGATATTTTATGAATTTTTTTATTTATGCTTGAATTTCATTTTGAATGCTTATCAATGATTTCATTATTGCAACAGATACAACTCCTCCTAGATGTGATCTCGTACCCATGGATCTATTAATTGATTGCGGCCTAGTACCAAGTGCCATTATTTACTATGCTGGTACTTCCGACCTTAAGCCAGAAATAAAATCAAAGCTAACAGATCCTATGGCAGCAAGTTTACATGCATCTAATACAAGGTACCTAAAGGCAAATTATCTTGTAGGCTTAATTATTATTGTAAATAACACTCGTTTTTTCAGACTATCAACTATGCGACAAAATTGTGATTTGGATGATCTAAAAAATGAAATACCACAACTTAATAAGGAGGTAATAGTATCATCAATTTCATCATCATCATCTTCGTCACTCGTTCCGCGGCAAACGAACAGAAACGAGCCTCAGCCTTCGAGTTCCACTGCATCACCGTCTGGAGCAAGGAAGGTTCCTAAGTGGCTCCAACTTTCGAAAAAATAAACTATAAATTGTTATTGTATCATAAATCTTATTAAAATGACAATAATTTAGTGGCATTTAATTTAACACACAAACTTTTTAAGGCAAAAAGATAATTTAATATTTTCATAATTTCATTACTTGCTATGTGGTACTATTTATATACTATTTTTGACAACTTTAATGTAAAAAAATTTATCATGCCAAATAAAATATCAAACACATATATTACTGTAGTTATTGTAATTATTATTGTTAAAGATATTTACAGAGTCAGGCTAAAGCACATAGTTTTATATTGATATAATAATTAACTTTCAACTAGATTACAATTTTTCTCATATAAAATAGTTACACTGGGAAATTGTTGGATAATTTTACATATTTATAGTTTTTTCACATAGTAAAAGTGTGAGTCTTTTTTCATATATTATTCGTAGTTGGCCAAGCATAGTTAAAATTAGTCTATCACAGATTAGCCAAGAAGTGAGAAGTATCTAAAATGCGAGTTCAAGCTTTACACTTTTGTTCTAATAAAACTTGATGTAATTATTGATTTAATAAGTATTGTAACTTACCGAACGATAATTAGTATCATTAAAATAAATGGTCTTAGCAGCTTGAAATATGTTTACATTTTACGTGTTGCGCTATTTAGTTGAAAGTGATATTGGTTAACATTTGAAAAATTTTTGAGCTTTAACAACAACTACATTTTACTCTCATACAATATGTTTTCTCTATAAATTCCGAAGTGCTTACAATTATTATGGCAACTATAACAGTGAATAGTCGTATAAAATCTTATCTGAATTAATTATTGATATGTTTCCAATGTTACACGCAATGCGACATTTTTTCGTCAAATTTATTTCGTTGAGTTTAACTTTTATGTATTTCATATAAAAAAATAAAAACAAAATGAATCATTAAATTGTTGTTGAAGAGTTTATATACAAGTCTGGATTGAATAATATATTTTTTTTCTGTCTTGATAAATAATGCATGGTCAATGTCAATTATATTATTTTCTCGATCAATTCTCAAGAATCAATAGTATGAAAAGTAAAAAGATCGAGAAAAATGCAAGTCTTTCAAGGCAATGAGTTGTGAAAGCGAGTTTTTTTTTATTTTGAAAGGCAGTTTTTTTTAGCGAAGTTGTCAAAAATAAATGTTTACATGACGTTAATTTTAGAACGTTTTTCATATTTACCTCTCCTTCTCATTACAGTGTAAGATCTATCACAATAAATGTTCTTGGAGAAGTACTTCTAGTGGCAGAGTTATTTTGGAAAAACTACTCGAAGATTTTATTATTTTTATCCTAATCCTATCCTACTAATTTAAAAAAAGTCTAGTATCAAAATAAACTTATCTACGATACAATAAATGCACCTACTGAAAATACAAATTATCAAAAACTTAAATTAGTGAGCTTTTTTCCAAAGTTGATCTGAAAGATTTATATCTTGATGATTGAATTACATTCAAATCACTGGTATACAATTCCACAAGCACCATTAGATAGCTACTTTGAAATATCATACTCAAATCCTTTGATTTTATTCTTTTGCTTCCTCAGTCAAATTTATATGTTTCAACCTTTCTATAGGACCTCCCAGAATATTACCAAGTGGCCCAGATCCACCGGCTTCTTCTTTTATACTTTCCAGTAAATTTCCTTCGACTTTTTCGGGTACTGCTGGACGATTTCCAGCAGCCACAAGTTGCGAATCGAGCAATTTCATGTATTTATCGAGTTCTCCGTGTGGATCTTCATCGTCATCGCCCAACGAACCTTCCGAGCTTCCATCGAATTCACCATCACCACCAGGTACAACAAGGTCCAAAATACCTCGTAAGGCTGTGTCAAAGGCATCCGGATCAAAGTCAATTCGCCCGCTGTCATCGAGATCTTTTAACGTATTTGAAGACTCATTTTCATTCTCGCTAAAAAAATTAATTGATTATTTTTTTAGTACCAGTATTGTGAGAGAAAATTTAATTTTACTTACCCATAAAATTGGACACCATCGATATCACTTTTTTGATTAATGAAAGCCTGTACTTTATCTTGAAGGGCCATTGGTTGGTCATTCGCTTTTGAAGGAATACCGAATTGTTGGCCCAACAAAGCCTCTAATTGAGCAGGATCAATATTCAACCAACTGTCACTGTCTTCAGGACTCAAATTACAAGTATCTTCGACTGAAATAATATATCACATTTTTTTCATAAAAATCATCAAACAAAAATTCAAAGTTGAGGGTTTGAACTCAAGGGTTACTCACCTTCAATCTCTACATCGTTGCTTAAAATTTCATTGTAAAGCTCAAGCAAAGATTCGCCCTCAGTGTTTTCAACTTTTTTTGCAATATCATTCACACCTAAATTTTCTGTATAATATTTTTTTGCTTGTTCCAGCAGCATCTCACGTTCTTTGCTACCTTCTAGCAATTCTCTAAAGTAACCAGTTGCTTCTAGGCGTTTCAAAAATGCTATCCACGCTTCTTCATTGATCTCACCAGCAAAGGTTGGCTTTTTGCGGCGCGCTTGAGCCAGTGATAATAACATTTCTAGACCACATGCAATTTTAATACCCAGTGAGGTTGATGCATACTTTGGACTTGTCACAGGTGGTAAATTCCAACCAGTTCGTGGATCGCCAGTATACCTAAAAATATTACAAAGAATGCAATCATTAACATGTCCTCAGTTTATCATTTTATTATACAATTCTAAAAGCTTTGAAATTTAATCTATGATGATGAGTAATATATTTATGAATTAATAATGCTTTATTTTCAAAATATCAAATGCTGCAACATGAATGTTTTTAACTACCTCTAACAGTACAAATGTTATGATTAACTTTGTCTAAACTATTTTTAACTAAATTATTGTTAACTAAATATTATGGTTTGGTAAAATTTATCAATTTATTTAAAATTCTTATCTATGAAATCTACATAAACCACTGTTCAATAGTTTATTTTCAAATATGTTACAACACACGAATTTACCTAAAACTCACCGATCAACAAGTATCTCTCAATCTGCTTTAGCCTGAATTTTATAAAAATGTTCAAGTTGTTTAATGCAGATAAAAAGAGTAAAAAAATAAACATAAGAAAATAGCTAAATATTTATTTTTTCTTATTTTTTTTTTCTTTTCAGTACCAAAGCTTTTGCTCAATTTTTAAAAACAGTATGAAAATTACTTACTTGCAGTGAGTCGCCATAGCATACAAACATTTGGTCATTTGTACATTGGCCATAACTCTTTGTTCTGGAGGAAAATAACGCATGGCACGACAGACTTTTCTTTCTATGGGATCCGAATGGCAAACACTCCTAACTACCGAGGATATCAATTCTGGTCTTTTTCTTAATATGTATGCAGCTTTGACGGGCAAGTATGCCCTGGCTTTGTGCTTTCTCCTCTGAATTTCATCCGGATAAATACTAATTCTTTTCTGAATAACAGCTTGGACCTATAAACATTGACTTAGTTATTTTCATCTGCGGCATATTAATCAACAAATTAGCTGGATAACTGATAGGCAAATAATACCTTGTCTGACAGTTTGAATATGTGAGAGCGCTGATAAACGCTATTCAGTATATTAATGCAGATCTTTTGTTTATCTTGAACGGCGTGTAAAGCACCGTTCATCATAAAGACTCTGTTTTGGCAAGTTTCTGGTGTAGCCCAAACTGGAAGCTCGTCGGCCGCCTCGATCATGAGAAATTCACCATCGGAGTCGACCATACGAGCGATGAGGCCCTCGTACTTCCTGGTGAGTTTCTGGATTAAAAATACGACGAACCACTCGTCGCCTATATCCTCGTCGAATCTCAACAGCACGTGTATGTGTGGAAGCAGATCGAATTCTGGACGAAACACACGCGCAAAGTGTCATTATTCACGAGACAGTGAGATAACCCAAAAGTATAAGAGAGCAAAAAAAAACCACAACAAACCAGTCGCTCGTGACGTGCCCTCGACGACGCTCTCGAATTGCAGGGCCTGCTTGGTCCTCGGCCGAAATTCCAGCCCATCCCTGTGCCAGAGATAGTCCCTGACGTAGGGCTCGCAGTCTTTGACGTAGGCCTCGATCTCCTGGCGCAGCGCGTCCTCCGTGACCTGGTCGGCGCTCAGAGTGTAGCTGAAGCGCGGATACAGGAAGCACTCGAGCACGTCGTCCTCGCGCGGCCTCTTGGATTGCGTGCTGCTGCTGCTGTTCATCATTTTGACGATTGGTCCATTTATCGCCAAAAACAATAAAAGGATCGAGAGAGAGATAAATGTCAACGACACTGCCTGCACGCACTCTATTATACTGCAGAGAGCAGACAACTGCGGAGTCTGTCTCCGCGCCGCGAGTGCCTAAAAAAGGGGCGCACGCGCGCGGAATACGAAATTAACGTTACTTCGTGCGCCCGAATCGGTCGGTAAACTTGCGCGCGGGCGAAATCTTCTATATATACAATATATACAATTCAATGCAAATGTGCCGCATCGTTTTTGCATTAGATTTTAATTTTTTTTTCCTCTTCTCGCTTATTCCAATTACATCCGTCTATATAATAACCCGAGCGATTCTAGTCTAATCGCTCGATCGAGTGCAAAAGTAGAGACATATATGTGCGTTTACGTAATCGATTCGCGGCGGCGCGGCTCGTTCGTAATGATGTATAGATCTCGATACAATTTAATGACCAAAACTGCAAAATAAAATCGCGATGCACTCGGTATTGAGAAACAATGATATAAGATATTAAATGTCAAATTTTTACGATGATCAGACGATGAATCGGCGATTCCCTAAACAGGATGACACGGTGAAAAGTTGCCTGATTATATTTTCTTCAATCGTTATCGGCATTTACTTAATTTTCTAATTTTACGGTCGATTAGATCCGCATGATATATACTTTTTCATCTTATCGATCTCGGCCCTAATTACTACGATTCACGAATGACATCGAATTTCTATACACGCATTGTTTACGAAAAGTTTGGTGAAAAAGTCGAGTCTCATTAATACAAACATTTAAACTAAAACGACACAAACGATCGCGCGACAATTTTGCGCAATATCTCGTTACAAATTAAAAGAAACAAAAAAAAAAAAAAAANTAAAAAAAAATAAAAAAAAAAAAAAAAAAAAAAAAAAAGGAGAAGAAAAAAGAACTGAGAAATCAAGTAGTCGGCGGTGGGTGCGTGGCGCGCGCGGAGCACATTGATTAGTCATGGTTGTAATAAACTGATAAGAGCCGATTATTACGGACGAATTAAGAGAGAGGCAGCAGTTCTAGTGGTGGTGGTGGCGCGCGTTTATACGACGAGAACTTGCAAGTTGTAAAAAGGACAATGTGAACGCAGCAGTTTTTTTTTGGGTTGTTTGCTCTAGATTTGAATTTACACGCGAAATTGTTCCACGAAGAGGAGCTGCGCCGATCGTTATAGGGAGGGAGGGGCGTGAGGAAGGCTCAACGAATTGCGCAATAACGAATTTCTCGGTCTCTCTCGATTTATTACTCGAGTAAACATTGTTTTTCGTCGATCCGACACCGAGAAATACAATAAAGATCGATTTTGAATTGTGTATTAAGGCGAAAACAAGTTAAGCTTTATGCACACGGCTGAATCAAATGAAACACTGTACGTATAAGCTTTTCCCATTTCCGGGTAAATGGAAAAATCGTGTCCAATATAGTCGCGGTTGACTCATCTTTTATTTATTATGGTGAACACGCACATAATTTATACGATGGAAAATGCACGTATGAAACCATACGCGCGAGATCATGGATGATGCGACAAAAATTTCTTATCTACTTGACTGTCTGAATTCGTACGATCATTAAACGAGTGTGTATACCAGTAGCCGCGGGCAACCACGAACAGACCTCGGGATCACCCGATGAATAATTGCAATTGTCCCGAAAATTTGTTTACCCAAATACCATCAAACAAAAAACGCGTACTTATTATTACAATTGTAATCGGTCATGCGGATAAAAATTTATCGAAAAAAATTTCGTAAGCTGGATCGCGATTCTCCGAAACTCCCCAATAATCGAGTTGATATGTTTATACATATCTATATACGTACATACGTGACGGACAGTCAACGAAGAATAAGAAGAAGAAGAAAGAGAGAGAGAGAGAGAGGAGAGAGAAAAGTCTGGGAGAGGAGTGTATAGACGCGCAGGTAAAGAGATTATAATGCATAAAACGTGGGGGCTGCGGGCCCAGTCTCGCGCGCGCCTTCGTCTAGCGAGGAGGACTGTTCTCTCTCTCTCTCTCTCTCTGCGCACCTATAGAGATAGTCCGATATCGGTCTCTCTCTCTCGTGTGTTTCTCCTATATATACTATAATCTTACATACGTATATGTGAAATCGTGCGCGACGCGCAGAGCCGAGCAGCAGCAGCAGACGCGCGCCGATCTTCGTCGAGCAGCGACGAATCGACGAGCACCGATATATTAATACGAGTGCGGTTATTATAGTTATAAGTAATTTGGAATTTTTTTCACACGAGTATCGGGGAAAACGGATTATTTCATATCGGTGCACGCGAGCGGTGCAAGATGGACAGCAAGCAGAGGTCGAAGAAGGAAAATCCGGCCGACAAAGCCAATATATTCGGTCAAATATTTCTTTGGTGAGTTTTTTTTTTACTTATTAGTTATGTAGAATGCAAATCGAACGTGGCCGATCGTCCAGCTGCAATTTCTTCTTCTTCTTCTTTTCATTCGTTGTCATTCAAATTTCTAGGCTGTGCATTATTACCGATATATTATATTATATACACATCGTTGTCGTCATGCCTGCGGCTATTATACACGATTATTTCATCGTTTCGCGCAAAGCTCGCGAAATTTTTTTGCCTCGTCGTCGAAATGAATTCCACTCGAGATCGAAGAGAGAGATCTGTAAAAACGGAATCATTACATCGTCGCGTGTACACACACGAGCACGCGAGCGAGCCGCCTTTTTCTATTTTTCGCTCGTTTGGATGTAATTGCGCTTAATTCTTCGCGGCTTTATTGTTATTGTCCGAGTTGTCGTCGTCAGCTGTCTATAACCGCTCGCGAGCGAGTCTCTGAAAGTAAATAAGGCAGGAGATACTTAGCACGCGTTTACGTATCTCAACGTCAAAGTTTTCCGATCGAGAAAATTGGTTCGTGTAATGACGATCGACTCGTGTGGAGAGATCGAAGACGCTTTGATAGAACAAAGTTCCCTTTCTCGTTAATTATATACATTGTATATGCGTTATCTTATCTATCTATTTCGGCTACAGATGTCATAAAATAAAAAGAAATGCTCGTAAATCGTAGATTCGGAGCTTCTCCTTCTGTATAATCCTACCTTCTTATGCAAAAATAAAAATCGATCGGATAATAAATAATTCTCTGCGTGACAACAGTCGGTTGCCGATTTTTGCTCTCTCTCTCTTTCAGCGAGACACAATATAAAACGATCAAAGAAGCTGAAATATAGTCTCGAGATGTACGTACTTATAATACGATGCGTGCATATGATTTTAATCGTCGGCGATCGATCGGTACAATTAACACACACCATGAGTCGTGGGTTTTTCGCGAGAAAATGTATATGTTTATCTTATCGAGCTACTTATAATAATTGTTAAGCTCGATCGACGAGAAGATATTTGTTATTAAAATGAGCCGTACGTGCGTACTTCTCAAATCGGCAACTTTAGCATCGATCGAGGCACACGCGACGATCCTACAATCGTATATACATAGACAATAATTTTTTTTTCTCCACCGCAGGTACACCAAAGATATATTTTGGAAGAAGAACATCACCACGGAAGACATCTACGATCCGTGCAAGTCCGACGAGTCCGAGAAGCTCGGCAACCGATTGGAGCAGTGAGTAACGTACAATACATTTCGACAATTATAATCAAAGATAATTTCGCGGCGGCGGCGCGCGCGGAAAAATTATATTATAATAGCCATGATGTAGCCGCGTACCATACAACTCACACACACACGTTGCTTCGATATTGTTTTGCGCAAGTAGACGACGAATACATATCGTATATAGCCTGTGATACAGTCAATTAAAAGGCATATATAATCATTCGAGACTCGGCGCGCATAATAAATTAGCCGCGTAGAGAGATCGAAAAACTCGAGACTGTAGCAGGCAGCTGTGTTGTATATAGCTGCGCTGATCATCTATCAGCGGCACATTATCGGCATTATCCGCCGCGCATGTAACTTGCATCCCATTATACCCGATTTTATACATTATATTGTGTTTGTTGCGTTTCGTCAAGTTCGTTCGGTTCGCGGAGCGGAGCTGATTAAATTCTATCCTGGCGCGCGCGATGCCAATATTTAAGATTAGGATCTACCAATGCCGCGCGCTCCAGCCGCCGTGTTTCAGTCTAATTATTATTACGCCGCGCGCACATGTATGTGCACTTAGCTCAGCGAGCCGTTAAGGAAGTCGTCGATAAATCGCGGTTACAATACGATATTACAATTGCACCGACGGATGTCTATCGTGTATTTTTTTTCCCCCTTACAGAGAATGGAACAAGGAACTGGAGAAGCGCCGGGAGCTCGAGTACGCCCTCAACAACGAGGGCAAGAAGATCGGCAAGAAGCACGCCAAGCCCAGCCTCACCCGGGCCCTGGTGCGCATGTTCTTCTGGCAGAACGCCGGCCTCGGCGTCATGATGGCCCTCAACTTCTGGTTCTTCATCGTCGCGACGCCCATCTTTCAGGGCTGGGTGATCGATCACTTCAAGCGCCAGGACATGTCGGAGATCGCCCTGGAGCGGGCCAACGTGCTCCTCTATGCGGCTCTGATGATAATCGCCAAGGCGGCCAATATCGGCCTCATGCATCACTCGTTCCGAGTGGCCTGGCTCATGGGCATGAGAGCTAGGGTCGCCTGTTGCACCTTGATGTACAGGAAGGTTAGTATAATGACACACATAATGTATAAGATTCTATTTTGCGCGCTATCTCCGCCGATAGATCGGACGATTTTTAATTACGCTATATGCGCGCGTTTGACAGATCTCGATATCCGATCGGTTGCACAGCAGCAGCCTCTATTGCTTCTATTGTATCCAGTGCGCGATGCGTAATCGTGATTTTTTACTCGGAAAATATATATATCGGCGACAAAATAACGCGCCAGGCATTATTATAATAATTTATTATAGATCTGATGCTCGCGATCACTACGACGTTTGCGGTTGAGGACTGTAAACGAGAAGGAGAAACAAAAAAAAAAATACATATATCACGCATATACATAAGTACGCGTATATCACCTATTAGTGTACCTTCGCTAGTAGTTCAAGGCCGTCAACGACGACGACGACGAGTATAAGGAAATACAAAAATCGGGAGCAGATTGAGCAACGATCGATATCGCGTATATTACGGCTCGTATGCACGCGAGTGATTTATGTATACGCGTTATTACGAGGATTAATGACATTAAACGCGTTGTAAACATTTTATAATATCATTTCCTTTTTTTTGGCGCAGTTTTTGCATCGCAATCGTTGTGTATTATATCTCACGCATTCAGATGAATCTCTGACCTTTTTCGATTCCATTACTACCATTATTATGGTCAAAGTCAAGTACACACAAGCGCATACATATACGTGTATCCTTTGAGGCTCGCGTAATAATAATATATGCGTCATTTATTTACGCGTAATAATAAATCGCGGAGATTCGAGAGACAATAAAGATCGATCGCGACACGATCTTGTATGTATATAGTATAATAGTTAATGTATCGCATTATACGTAACTATACAACAATGCGCAGTGGTGGACCTTCGCTTGGCGTGTGTGTTTAAGCGTATTTTTATTCATCGATCGTTATTTTGTTGTCCTTCTCTCGCTCGCAGGCTCTTCGATTGAAAAAATCGGCACTGGGACAGGCAGCCGCCGGCCAGGTGGTGAATCTGATGAGCAACGACGTGGGCCGATTCGACATGTTCTTTCACTTTTTGAATTTCGTCTGGATCACGCCGGTTCAGGTAATCTATCGGTATATACAATTCCTAAAAACCCCGAGCGAAGGATTTTTTTTTTTTTGTAACATACAATATGCATCGTGTATACAGATCGCGCTGATCGTCTACATGATGTGGAGCAGCATCGGCGTGCTGCTGCTGGCCGGTATCGCCATTCTGGTGCTGGTGGCGGTGCCGCTCCAGGCGGTGGTCATCTACACGAGCAAGATCCTGCGAGCCAAGATAGCCGTGCTCACGGACAAGAGGGTGCAGCTCATGAGCGAGCTCATCGCCGGCATACAGGTACACAAATATTATTTTCATTATTCGGGTATTATTTTTCGAGTAAATATACAATGTATGGACGAAGGAAGAAACGCAAACATAAGACCGAGAGAGAGTCGAGAATGCGCTCTCCTCTCGATATATCTGTGTGGGTATTTCCAGCGGACGCGCGGGCAAAAAAAAAAGGTACCGGGCCACTCGTGACGCGCACTCTATATACTCACTTTTCCCTCTTGGCTATATTATCTTTCTTACGCACTCTGCGTGCTGCATTTTGCCTATACCTATATACCTACTATGCTCTCTCGGACGAGATCTTGCTAATAAGCATCCGTGAAAGAGATACATAGATATATAGCTCTTTCGTGACGTCGCTTCTTTCGGTATTCGCCTTGCGGAATAAACGTAATGACGCGCTCAAACGTCGGTGGCGGGCGTTACGCGTGACGTACGGAAGATATTTCACAGAGCAACGACAAAAAATCCTCTTTTAAATGCGCTCGCGTGCGTGAACGTTTTTGAGCGGTAAAAACAAATTTACAGGGTTTATAAGATTGACATCAATTTGAACGGTTCGACATTTTATTAGATTTGGAATTGGAATAAATAATAAGCTTCGCTTCGTGAGATGACATCGAATGAACTCGCGATATATTTATAAATTAACATTTTTAAATCAATCTTCTGAACGCGTACATTGAATTTTATACATTTATTAGAAGATGCACCGAATAAGTACGGACATTGAGATTACTGATATGGTAAATATTTCTTTCCGCGTGTGTTCGCGGATACCTTTGAGTGACTCAACTTGACGTGCCGGCGGAGGTTCCATCGGTCTGAAAATTTCTTTGAGCACAAATCACACGTATGCATGATATCGTTGTGCAACGAATCTATGTGAGCTTTGAGATACCACTTGGTTGTGAATGTCTTTCCGCATCTATCGCATGCATGCTTGACACCATTGTGCCCTGAATCAATGTGGTTTTTAAGACTGCTTCTTAGAGCAAATGACTTGCCGCAAATGTCACACGAATGAGTGACACCATTATGAATGGCGATGTGTTTACGGAGATACCTTTTTTGCTTAAACGTCTGGCCGCAAATATCACATGAGTGGGTTACACCATTATGCACTGATTGAACATGCCTCTTCAGATCACCCTTCCTTTTAAACGTCTTTTCGCAAATATCACATGAGTGAAAAATCCCATTGTGCATCGATTCGGTGTGGGTTTGGAGACTACTTTTCTGAGTAAATGACATGCCGCATATATTGCATGAATGTTTGACACCATTGTGGATCGAATCGATGTGGGTTTGGAGGTACCAATTTCTTGAGAATGTCTTTCCACAAATATCGCATGAGTGGGTGACACCATTATGCGCTGATTGAACATGCTTCGTCAGAGCACTCTTCCTTGTAAACGTTTTGCCGCAAATATCACATACATGTTTGACACCATTGTGGATCGAATCGATGTGGGTTTGGCGATACCAATTTCTTGAGAATGTTTTTCCACAAATATCACATGAATAGGTGACATCATTATGCGCTGATTGAACGTGCCTCGTCAGTTCACCCTTTCTTTGATACGTCTTTCCGCAAATATCACATGAGTGAAAAATCCCATTGTGCATCGATTCGGTGTGGGTTTGGAGATTACATTTAAATGAAAATTTCTTGCCGCAAACGTCACATGCATGTTTGGTTCCATTGTGCACTGTATCGATGTGCATTTGAAGATACGCATTTGTTGACAATTTCTTTCCGCAAATATCACAAGAGTGAGTGACACCATTGTGTATCGCATCGATATGGGTTTTGAGATTAGATTTTTGCTTTAATGTCTTTCCACGAGTTTCACACGTATAAATGCTACCATTGTGCATCGTATCAATCTGAGTTTTGATTTTATGTTGATGGTCAGACTTTTTTGAAATTCTCCTTTTTTTACTTGGCTCGACAAGTTCATTGTCGAGATTCAAATTCAATTGTTCTGTAGCTTCAGATTCTTGTGCCACTTCGTCTGCTGGTTTTTTTTTAATCGTATTTTTCACTGTGCCTAAACGATTTTGAATATCATCGCCAATTTTCCGAATCGTCAATGAATCAAAGTTGGGCTTGACGTCTTCACATTCAACGACTATTTCCACTTCGTTGTCAAGTTCACTTTCGAGTTTAATGCCACATTTTTGAATGGTATGAATCTATTGAAAAAATAAAGCCATATGAGAATTTTTATTAATCACCCACAATACCAGTCACAAATAATCATTACTTACGGAAGTTTTTTGCGGAAATGGCGAGAGTTGGAAGTTGATCAAATCGGGTTTCTCGTCCCCTGTCTTGTAATCATTTTTAATGAACGACTCGTCGCGAGGCTCTTCTTTTACCCTAAAATAACCCCAATAAAATCAAGTACTATGTTGTAATATTTTTACAATATCACTGATCTTATAAAATGAGAATTACCTGACAGCACAATCAAATAAATCATTGGATTCCATTGTTTGCAATTGTATGAACGCTAACAATCGATCTTTTTGGGATGATTTTACACATGAAATTAAATTGGCGCGGAGAGCTGTTCTGTGCTTGGAATATGCAAAACTGCGTCTTTACGAAGACAAAAATTGCGACCATGAGCTCCTCACAATTCTCGTGTAGTACAGCGCCGTTGTGGTATACACAGTACTTACTGGGCAACACATCAAGAGGTCATGATGTATGCGACGCACGACGTAAACAATAGAAAATGAACATATTTATGTGCTGTTCGTCGGTTTTTGTTCCGTGTAATTGACTCAAATTTCTTGTTACGAAATTTCCAAGTTATCAATTGTCAACGAAGCAAAACTCGAGGCAAAACTTGAAACAACGATAAAAACGCTACGAAAAATTATAAAATGATTTCAACCCGAACCAACATAATGCAACCATCTCGAATCCGCGCAGATCGTCAAGATGTACGCCTGGGAGAAACCCTTCGAGCTCATGGTCAACAAGACTCGCCTGGCCGAGATGCGCAAGATCACCACGACGGCCCACGTGCGCAGCCTCTTCATCAGCTCGATGGTCTACACGGAGCGCACCACCCTCTTCGTGACCCTCGTCCTCTTCGTGCTGGTCGCGGGCCGCCAACTGACCGCCGAGACGTCCTTCGTCCTGGCCACGTACATCAACGTACTGCAGCTGTCCATCATCTACATGATGCCCAGCGGTCTGATCGCGGCTGGCGAGGCCTCCGTGTCCATAAAGCGTATCGAGGTAGTAATTGTTTAAATTCAAATCGCGTCTCCTCCTCCGATTCGTGTATAATTTTCTATAATTCAATCGCAGGACTACATGCTTCTGGACGAGGTGAGCACTTCCAAGCTCAAGGAGATGCAGCAGCAGCCCAAGACGAAGAGGAGCAAGAACAACTGCTACACCAACGACATCGCCCTGGAGGAGCACGTCTTCGATCTGTCGAAAACGCGCAGCATCGTCAACAACAACGACGCGGCGGCCGATCGGCCCGTCAAGGTCAGCTTCCGCGAGGTGTTCGCCAGCTGGATCCCGGACAGGATGCCGCCCACCCTCAGCGACCTGAGCTTCGAGGTCGAGGCCGGCAGTCTCTGCGCCCTGGCCGGTAGCGTCGGCTCGGGCAAATCCGCCGTGCTCAATCTCCTCCTTCGCGAGCTGCCCGTCGGCTCGGGCTCCGTGGCCCTGTCGACCTCCGAGAACCACGAGGATCTGCTGCGCAAGCCCGGCTTCAACACGGACCTGGCCGAGCTCCGCGTCTCGTACGCCAGTCAGGACGCCTGGCTGTTCGCCGGCTCGGTGCGCGACAACATTCTGTTCGGCCAGCCCTACGAGGCCGATCGGTACGCCCGAGTCTGCGAGGCCTGCGCCCTGCGCCGCGACTTCGAGCAGCTGCCCCGCGGCGACTCGACGGTGGTGGGCGAGCGAGGCGCCTCCCTGTCCGGAGGCCAACGCGCCCGAGTCAATCTCGCGCGGGCCTGCTACCGGCGCGCCAATCTCTACCTGCTGGACGACCCGCTGAGCGCCGTCGATCCCAAGGTGGCGCGACACATCTTCGAGCGCTGTGTCGAGGGCTTCCTCAAGGGCAGCACGAGGATCCTCGTGACGCATCAGCTGCAGTTTCTGCGCAAGGCCGACACCATTCTCTACATCAACAAGGTGAGCGCAGTTTTTTGCCCGTGGACACGCGCGGAGAGGAGCGTCTGACGAGAGGATGACAGCAGCATCGCAAATGGATTCTTTTTTTTTATATATACGCGCGAGTTTATTTTTTGAATTTAATGGAAAAAGAAAAAAAACACACACGGCTCGCGAAGTTTGATTGCCGTTTCGCGCGTGGCTGCTCAATAATAATATCGCCGTCGCGCATGTATTATGCAGCGCATGCATATAAATCAAGCGGTCTTCGCGGGATAAGTGCAAATTGTGACGCGGCGATTACGCGCGAGATTATAATAAGGCGAGATCGTTAACGCGTCCGTTCGTCTAGATCATCGCGAATCTTTAATCGATACGTGAGGTATACAACAACTCTTTTTTTTTTTTACTCGATCGCGATTCCAATGGTCGAAACGTTTTTTATTTTATTTATTTATTAATTTATTTTTTACGCAGGGCAAGATCAAGTACAGCGGCACCTACAACAACATAACGAATCTCAATCCGGACGTGATGAAGCTGCTGGGCAGGAAAGAAAACAGCAAGACGGACGAGGAAGGAAAAAAGATCATCGAGAAGACGGACTCGTTGATCAGCAATCAGTCCGACGACTCGCTAGACGTGAGTATATAATATATCTCATTGGTATACCCTCACGCACGCGCGCGCAATAAAACGTACATATGAGGTGCAATAAAATAAGTGAGCCGAGATATTTACGATCCGCTTCTTCTTTGTCTTTCGTGTGTGTATATAACGATGCGGGCTCGGGGAGATAAATCATCGGTTCCGATTTGTCTCGGAGTTTTTAACTCGAGATTGCGCAATCGCACATGCACGGGGGTTAACCGCACGATACCTCGATATATTTTGTATTTTCAACTTTTTTCACGATTCATCGTCCAGGTAATGGTGGGCGAGGAAGACGGCCCAATCAACGGCGAGGACGACGCCGCCGAGGAGGAGAACGTCGATCGCGAGTACAACAACTTCCAGGTCTTCAAGTCGTACTTCCGGGCGGGCGCCTCCTGGTGCTTGATCGGCTTCTACATGCTGGTGCTGATCGTCACTCAGATCGCGACGAGCGGCACCGATCTCTGGCTCGGCTTCTGGACGAATCTCGAGGAGAAGCGCCAGTACGAGCAGCTGAGAAGGAACGGAAGCGAGATCGCCGACAACCAGACATTTATCGAGACTACGACGACGATGATCGGTAGTAACGCTACGAACCGATCTCTCGTGGGCGACGTCGTGGACGAGATCGAGGATTTCGCGAGCTCGCTGAACGACGAGTACGGCATTATGTCGACCTACAACGCCATCTACATCTACGTGATACTGCTCGTGGTCACGACGATTCTCTGCGTGCTGAGGAATTACCTCGTGATCCGGATATGCATGAGGGCCAGCCGCAACTTCCATCGCGGCATGTTCTCCAAGCTGCTGCACACCAAGATGTCGTTCTTCCATAAAAACGCATCGGGTAATTATATAAAGGCTCTTTCGTTGCCGATCGTCAAGCTTGAACTCAAAAAATTAATCTTTTTTTACTTCGCACGATACAGGACGGATATTGAACCGATTCTCCAAGGACACGGGCGCCATGGACGAGCTGCTGTCGCGCAACTTCGTCGAGGCCATACAGATATTCTCCGTGCTGATCGGTATCTCGGTCGTCATCGTCGTCGTCAACGTGCCCATGATCGTGCCCCTCGCCATAATCCTCCTCATCTTCTGGCCCACCTCGCACATCTACCTCAAGAAGACCAATCAGATTCGTCGGCTCGAGACGGCCGCGAAGTCACCCGTACTCTCGCACCTCAACGCCACCATGAACGGCCTCACCACCATACGCAGCTCGGGGCCCGAGGTCGAGCGTCTGCTCGTGCGCGAGTTCGATCGCTTTCAGGACGAGCACACGGGCGCCTGGTATCAGACCATCGCCACACAGACCGTCTTCGGCATGTTTCTCGATCTGCTGTTTCTCATACTGAACGCCAGCGTCGCGTTCAGCTTCATACTGAGGAACGACGGCACGACCAAGAGCAGCGACGTCGGTCTGGCACTGTCCCAGGCCATGATACTGTGCGGCATGGTGCAGTACGGCTTCAGGCTGTACGTCGACTTCATCGGCCAGCTGACCTCCGTGGAGAGGATACTGCAGTACTTCCGGCTGCCCGAGGAGCACCCGCTGGAGACGGACAAGGCGCTGCCGCCAAACTGGCCGACGCAGGGCAACATCGTGCTGCGGAACGTGACGATGCGTTACTCGGACAACGCGCCACCGGCGCTGAAAAATCTCGAGGCACGGATCGAGGCCGGCTGGAAGTTGGGCATCGTCGGGCGCACTGGTGCCGGCAAATCCTCGATAATATCGGCCCTGTTCCGGCTGGCCGATCGACTGGACGGCCTGATCGCCATCGACGGCGTCGACACGGCCGAGGTCGGTCTCCAGCTGTTGCGCAGCCGCATCTCCATCATACCCCAGGAGCCGGTGTTGTTCAGCCAGAGCCTGCGCTACAATCTCGATCCGTTCGGCCAGCACGAGGACGCCGCCCTGGCGGAGGCGCTGCGCGAGGTCGAGCTCGGCGAGCTGAGCCTCGACCAGCAGGTCGCCGAGAAGGGCGGCAATTTCAGCGTGGGCCAGCGACAGCTCATCTGTCTGGCGCGTGCCATCGTGAGGCAGAACAAGATACTGCTGCTGGACGAGGCCACCGCCAACATCGATACTCAGTGAGTACACGTGTTATATATAGTCGTTTGTTTGTTTCTTGCGTCGACTGCGCGCGCGCGTGGACAACGCAACGACGACAAAGAAGTTTTTCGGGGAGAAAAAACGATTGCGTCGCGTCGCGAATCGATACCAATTTTTTTTTTCTCGCGATAAATAGGCCATTGTCTCGGAGATCGGTATAATGCCATTTTTCATATATACATTTCCCGGTGTATAGCGCGCGATAAATAAAAATTTGCATCGCGATTGTCAAGATCGTTAACAAACAACTCGCGAATTAGCGATTATTATAGAATCTTGTGCACCGTAAGATATGGACTCTTTTTTTGCATCGTAATGCACTTTATAAAAGCGTGTAATTGTGTCTTATATACAAACGATCCGTGTAACCGGACGCCGTATACTAGAAGTATCCTTTCTCCGCGCGAGCTATCTTTTATAAGTAAGCGTCGTAGGCCGCGGTGCACAATTGCCATTACAGGATCTCTCTCTCTTCGCGAATGATAACCGGATGATTACGTCTCTAGTCGTCAGCGGTTACTTACTCGGAGCTGTCCAATAAAATATGTCGCTTTATAATACACTTTTGATTATCGTTGCGGCACAAACACACACACTCGAGTCGAAAATAAAGGTCAAGGCCGGTTGCGGTGCGATACGTTACACGTATATATAATACACATGAAAATAGCATATATTGTAACGCCACGCCGTATACTAGCATTAGCGTTTCCGACGTCTTACGCACCGTTGGTATATTTTGCACCTCGGAAAAACGCGCGCATAATTAATAATTTTTCATAAACGACGCCCAAGCGCCCGCAAGGTCGGCATCGCCGATCGTTTTTTTATGATTTATATCGTATAAGCCATTGTGCGATTGGTGAGAAGATCTCTCTCGGCGATCGCTCAATATTGTAATGCCCCTCGCGCTATATGCATAATTTTCAATTGGGGACAAATTCCTATTGTTATATATATTCGTTGTACGCGAAGCGAGCTGTCGCTCGACTCGAAAGATCGATCAATAATCGCGGTATGCGCAAAAAAAAAAAAGTTCGATCGGTATTAAAAGTATAACGAAACGCGATCGCCGATTGACAAACTATCGAATCGAGCGAGACGCGAGACGCGCGCGCAATTAATTATGCCTCGAGATAAGGAAAGAGTCAAGTGCGCAGTTTGCATAGCTATATAGCTCGATCCGATCGCGCGGCTAGTATATACGGTATATATAGCGGCGTTGTTGGTATATAAAAAGCTCGAAAGGGAGAGATTTTGGGCGCAGCTTTACACGGTATGCATTTACTTATATATTATATCGGCAGGAGTCGCGAGTAGAAATACGTTACAAGGTGTATGTACTACGCCGCGCTCGTGACTGCAACAATATACACCTTATCTGTCTTTCTATTTCTTGCCGGCGTATGTACAGATACCTGCATAAGGTGCATTGCATCTGAATTGCGAAAGTACCATAGCTGTGTCGTACTTAACGTATACACACGCGGCATAGCGATCCGATAAATTACATCCAGCGCACAGGCTCGTTTCTAATTCCTTCTGTTTATCGCAGCACCGACGCCGTGATCCAATCGACTCTGCGCAAGCGTTTCGCCGACTGCACCGTGCTGACGGTGGCCCACCGGCTCAACACCATCATCGACAGCGATCGCATCTGCGTCATGGACAACGGCTCGATCGTGGAGTTCGGCCGGCCCTACGAGCTACTCACCCAGAATCCCGACGGACACTTCGCCCGCATGGTCGGCCAGACCGGCAAGGCGATGGCCCAGCGACTGCTGGAGCAGGCCGAGGACGCCTACTTCAAGAGCATGCAGGAACAACAGCAGCAGCAGCCGTCGTCGGGCATTCCCGAGATTAGTCGATTGTAATTTTTTTTTTTTTATTTCGTAGATAGCTAGACTGTAAGACAACCAAAGTATTATTGTATCGTGTGCGTCGAGTTGCGATATAGTATTTTTGCGCGAAAGTCTCTCGAGGTCTCTCGACTGGATTGATTCGTTTTTTTTTTGGTTTTGTTTTGTCGCTGGCGATCCATCAATTTTGCGACGGAATCTTAAAAAAAGAAGACAATCCAGTCGTCGACAAGTGTACAAATGATATTTTAATTATTTTCGAGATGAGAAAAAAATTGTAAATAATTCTAGTTTGATAAGTTCATAGTGCAAAGACAGTAATATATTCAAGTATATTATGAAGTGCATTCGATATTTGAACGCGCTACACTTATTATGTAATGTCAACGTTTGCCGTATCATCGTGATTTTTGTAAAGAGCAAATATTTTTATGGATGCATGACTATTTCTGTGGAATGCCCAAAAGTTTCTTTACTTAAAAGATAGATAAAGCTTCTATCTATAATATATTGTTACAATATTGACGAAATGGTCTCAAATTGAAAAATGATTATGAATTATTTATTATTGCGTCGTATATGTGATATACCAAAAAAAATAATCAACTGTTTACTTCGCTTTCTTTGCAATTACGATTCTCTGCCTGTAATAAATCTATATTCTAACGAGAGAAACATAAATGTAATTCTTAAATAAACAATATATAAAGTTAATGGTCGAATAATTTAATAGGCGATATATACCAGCAAGCTCGTTATGATAATTGAGTAGTATAAGCAAATAAGCTTCTCTCTATCCTTTTTTTTCCTCTCGCCCGTCATCTGTAATGTTTATTAACTCGATTCAAGTAATATCAAGACATCACCGCGCACTGATTACACTTTTTTTTTTATGCGATCGCGTGGTCAGTCAAGCGTGGACGCTGAATCTCGAGCGCCACTATATACTATATATATATATACTACCGCAAGCTCCTCTCGATCTCAGAGAGCCATTTATCATTTTGGCCATTGTCATATCGTCGTAACGCGGCATAATCATCGTTGTATTTTTTTATTCTCGAATCATATACAAATTACCTCGATGTACACCGGTATACCTTGTTAACGAACGCGTGAAAAATAAACAGGCCATAAAAAAGCCACCGAGAGATGTGTGTATTATAATTGCCCCGCGTCGGATGCTCGCAAATTACCATGCCGTAACGTTACAATCCCATGATATATACTTCGACAACTGCCACGCGGTTCAACGTATCTCTCCTTCCACTTCGCGGGACGTTAACGATATTGTTCTCGCGTTGTAAACAACCATACTCGTCGTTATTCACGTTACGAAGCCATCGATTAAAAGGATCTCTTCGTGGTGAATCATCATCCTCGTGCGTGGCTGCTTTTTTTTTTAAAGGTCAAGGATCAATTTGTCAATTTTGAAGAGTTGGTTTAAAAAATTAAGAGACAACATAATTTATCATAATGAATCTCTGGCGTTGTATATTTACATTAAAGTCTATACATGAATGAACATTTTCACACTCGGTGCATTAATGAGTTTGTTGCTTGCAATAAAAAAAAAAAAATAAAAAAAAAAAGTAAAGAAAGAACAACTTATAACTCATTTCGTTACTAATATAAAAAGTATCTCTCAACGTCGCACTGAGGCTGTACACAACTTAAATAAATACGTTTATAAAATCTTAATACAAGATTACAAAACATGAAAAAAAAAATTGATAATTACAGTCGCAAATTTTTAGACAGTTCTTTATCACTTGCATGTTTAAGGCTAACTAATTTTGTACAAAAACAACTTGATGCTTGTCCTATCGATCAGAATCAACATCCATGGATTCCGTGAACTGCTCGAGTGAATTCTGCGTTACAATTACTTGCTGTTGTGGCTTCAATGGGGTGCTTGCGGCATTAGGCATACCAACCACCATTACTTTTGTGCCTTGAGCTGGTTTCTGTACCTGAACTTGCTGAATTGTCTGAGGTTGTTGTTGCACTTGCACTTGCTGTACTTGTTGCACTTGTTGCACTTGCTGCACTTGCTGTACTTGCTGTACTTGCTGTACTTGCTGTACTTGCTGTACTTGCTGTACTTGCTGTGCTTGCTGTACTTGCTGCACTTGCATTTGTTGTACTTGCTGTACTTGAACTGGTTGTGCTTGTGGCTGTTGTTGCACTGGTGCCGTAGAAGGTAAAGATTGCACTTGAACTTGCTGCTGTGATTGTACTGCTCCAGTGGCAGGATTTCTAGAAACAATAACATACTTTTGTCCACTTGAAATTGTTCCTGCCGTAATTCCACTGCCACCGAGCACTACTTTTGGTGGAATAGTTTTGGTGTTATTCACTGCAACTTGTTGATTAGTATTGTTGGTTACAGGAATATTACCAGAAGAGATAGGAGCAGCAGGTGTTGTGCGATTTTTAGAGACAGCAGTGCACAATGCTGGCCCTATATAGCCAAATTCTTGTTCGTACTCTTCAACAACATCTGGTGCTGATCTTATAGTTTTTAATATAGGAGCCACTGATTTAATAAGCAATGTTTTTATGTGACCAGCAGCATTTCGATCTATGCTTGATGAATTGACTCCCTCAAAACATACTTCAATACGATCAGAGATAACTCTTATTTTTGGAATCACTAATGCTTTTATGACATCTGGACCAAGTTCACATAATCCATGGATTGCACCATACAATGAATTTAAATTGGCCTAAAAAAATAAAAATAAGTTTAAAAAAGAATGTTCAAAAAATTACAATACCAGAGGCAGATGCACTTTTCAGTATACTCACTTGGTTGATATTGATCAGTGCATGACTAAACAATCTTGTTATTCTAGTTTGAATATTATTTGTGGTAGTATTGAAATTTTTACAAATTTGCGCCATTAGACGAGAAGCAAAATCTCTTAAGGCCCAATGATTATCCATTTCTGGTCTTGAACACAAAGACTTTGATACTATGCAAGTAACAATTGATGGTATCAATTCGTGTAACTGAAAAAATAGTTCAATTAATTAGTTTAAATCAGTAATTTATTTGAATGTATGGTACTAATTAAATACTTACATATTTTTCTAAATAAAGGCTTGGATTATCCAGTAATGCCTTGACCATTCTCATTAGATAGATGAGTATCGCTAAGTTATTTTGTACTACATTAATTTTTACGCCTTCAGCAATAAATGTACACATGCGAGCTAACATCTCGTGTAAGCCAGGATCCGCTGATAAAGACTGATAGGCTTCGACTCTTCTCCCTTCATCGGCTCCCACGCAGGCTTCAGTAATTTCTTTATAGTAAAGTTGCTGTTCTACACTTAATTCATGAGTGGCTAATTGTTTAACATGTACAGTCTCAACGTTACGTAATTTGTGGCTTTTGTGACCCGGTTTACCAAGATTAGGATTACTGTTTTTACTACTTATTGGATCTGTACTCTCTAGTTTTTGGACCTCTTTGGATACAGGCGGTGGATTTTCAGGTATCGTTGGCTGAATACCATCGATGCACAACCAGTGAGTTCTTAAATTAGTTTCTAAAGGCAGCTTTGGCCAGCTCTGGGCACCAGCTGTGGATACGAGCTCGGTCAGATCGAATTCCTTCTCCTCGGTGAAGTGCAACTCTCTGCCACCGCCCGAAGCGAAGCGGAAGGGAATGTGCTCCTTGGCGAAGAAGCCGTAGGTGGGCTCGACGTTCTTGGCTCTCAGGGCGTGATCGACGTCGTGCGTCGTGAGCCTGGACCTTCTGCCGTGGCGCATGAACTTGGTCGCGTCCTGGAGTATCTGCTTTATCCGATAGCTGACGTCCTCGGCCAGGTCTTTGGCCGCCTCGTCCGGCAAATTGGCAACGCCGATGCTCTCAGCGATGACTTTCATCGACTCCGTTGACAGAGTCGTGCCGTACATCATGGAGTCTACGTCGCTCATCTTGGGATCGTGGCGGTGCTGATCACCAGCACGGGATAAACGGAAAACACTCCGGAGACACTCGCGAGCTCGCGAAAGTTCGACGATGCTTCTTTAGCCACGATATAACCAAACAAACCGCGAGACTGACAATTCGATATAGCCTAAACTTTACGACGATATAAATATTGCTGCTGCGTGGCTCGGATTCGAGACCGACGCCGCCGACTGGTCGCTGCTGACTGTCCCCTCCAGACTACCTTGTGCTGGGCCTGTGCGTGCAGTTCACGTCCGCCGCGTGCAATGTTGATATACTTTTGGACACATGCTTTGCAGCGTCAGCGGCTCGAACAGTCGAGACGCCGCTCGAGAAACGACACGAGCGACACGTGGGAGAGCATCGGAACTACACTCGCAACTTTCTATCGTCGGTAGCGTCGTTGCCTCGCGTGCGGACTGCGGCGTGCTACACATGCTCTGTCTCTCTCTGACTCATCGATGATGCGCGCGCAACCTCGCTCGACGGTGTAAACAAACGTGGAACGATCGTGTCCCGTTATACGAATTACGATGTTGATAAAATATTAATTTCACAATTTCTTGATCGTGACTTCGACTCAACGATTCACTCTTGCAAGAGTTCCGGCACGACTGCACGTCGTCAATTTATAAGGCATCGATGAACTCGAATTAGTTGCTGCTTCGAGGCCGCCTTTTAAATGCAGTAAAGTCGCGCGCACCGGCGGCTGCTGCTGCTGCTGCGTGCGTCGCGTACCATGTAATAATATGTCGTGACCCCGCCGCCGCATAACGATAGAGGCGTCGAGAGTTGAGGTCCTCCCTGACGATTAGACGTGTGTGTGAGAGTCTCCGGTTACCGTAGTACACAAGCGTTTTTTAACGAGGTATATAAAACATAATTCCGAGAAACACACAAGTGTCGTACATATTAGCAGAGTAAGGCTTTTAAAAGCTCGTAACTAAGAAAATTTTTTGTTTACGCGACAGAACTTTACGTTGGCGGCACACGCCCGGCCCGCATCCTTGTTTATTTTGTCATCTTCGTTATACGTATAATACGCGTGCGTTTGAGTTCGTTTTTTTTTTCGTTCTGCGTGTACCGCGCTGCGTTGGTTATACATCGAACGATTGGTTTTCATTTTTTGCGAACATTGCAATAAAGCGAGCCTTTGTTTTTTTTTCTTCTTGCTTGCAGAGACACAAGGACAAATTTCCAAGTCGAGTGCCGCACGTCGATAATCATCTCTCTTTGATTTATATAAATTAAAAATATAAAATAGCACAATGAGCGACGACGAATCACTACCTGCAGGTTGGGAAAAACGACTGAGCCGCTCAACTGGTGCGTAATGCGATCGATATTGCATTATTTTTATCCTATAAACTCGGTGCGCTATTATTAGCTCATTGTTTCTTTTTTCTAATCAATAGGCCAGCATTATTATCTGAATATTTACACCAAAGCGAGTCAATGGGAGAAGCCAGACAAGCCAGCGGATTCCGCTGGAGCTGGCAATGGCAAAGCAACGGAGGAACCGGACGAGGTTCAATGCTATCACTTACTTGTTAAGCACTCTGGATCCCGACGACCTTCATCTTGGCGCGAGCAAACGATCACCAGATCTAAATCTGAAGCATTAGAATTAGTTAAATGTAAACTTGATTCATTAACGAGCAGTTTTAATTTCTCTTTAAATGCTTTTAACACTGATCTTTCTTTAATTTTTGCAGCGTACAGAGAACAAATTGTTTCTGGAGAAGCAAGCTTTGGTGACTTGGCATCCAAATATAGTGATTGCAGTTCGGCTAAGCGTAATGGTGATTTAGGTCCTTTCAGTCGAGGATCCATGCAAAAACCATTTGAGGAAGCAGCATTTGCTCTGAAAGTGGGCGAGATTTCTCAACCTGTTGATACCGACAGTGGTGTGCACATCATTTACCGTGTTGCTTAAACTCATTTGTCAACTGCTATTTCTGCTCTAGAATGACCAACATTCATTTGTATTTGAAAGAAGTCATCAGCTGCTTAGCGAGTAACTGAAATTGAAGCAAATTGAGCTCCTCTGATGTGTATATTTTATTAGGGATACCATTCCACTCAATTTCGTAGCATAAAGGTGAAAATTACAATTATCATTAAGAATGGCATTTGTCACTCAATGTCAGGATTGTTTTATCATGTTGTTCAGATTTCTTAGAAACATTGACCCAGCTGTTTATTTATCACTTTTTTAATTTCAAATAAAAAAAATACTGTTTACATATCTTAATCTTTGAAATACTTTAATTTTATGTACTAAAATTAATAAGTAAGATAATCAATGAAAATTTGTTTTAAAGGTTCAGCATCGATCTTTTCTATAACAATAGTATTTTTCAAGGCATCAGATCTATCATCCATAATGATGGTTCCTCTTTGTGGTCCTGTAACTATAGCCTCTACATGAGTTAACTTGACAGACCTTATTAAAGCAGGATCGAGCATGCATGCTACTAAAAGTGCATCGCTTGAGGTCCACATTGTTTTTTCCTTGCTCAAACTAATTGCCTCTATTTTGTTCATAAAATCAACGATGGGCGAATCAATTTTTCCTAGCACATTGACTCTCCATTCCTTAAGTAAAAACCAAAAAAAAATATTTTAGTGTTTTTGTAATTTTTCATCGAATATTCTGACAACATTTACCTTTGAAATACCGGTGGTGGTGACTGTTTCCCAAGGCACTAAAATAACTTGTAATTCATTCGCTGCATCGAAGAGAATGAAATTGCTCTTCGGATCGGCGAGAAAATTGAACTCGACGTGAGATGTTGGATCATTCGGATCGGCCACATTGCCACCCATAGTATAGATATAGTTCAAATGCGAAGTTAAATCATCGTCGTACAGGATGGCCTTCGCTACATTGGTGGTCGGTCCTAACGATACTACGCTCACGTCACCTTCAAGAAATTTTATAAATGATTTTTACGGAAAATTATTTAGGTAAAAACTATATACAAACGGTAACAAACCGACATACCCGAATGTTTGCGAGCTAGTTCGATTATTGCCTCGTGGGCTGGCATAGTTCGCCGAATTTCGCCCTTTACGGGCCAATCGAATTTTGCATTACCAAATCCATCTTCACCAAAGTAGGAGTCGGAAGCGAATCGTCTGTTGAAACCGATTTGCGGGCCCTCGTACACTGGAATCTACAAGATCAACAATAAGATTCAAAAAGATATCCTTCGGCGCTTCACAAATGGATCATAATTTTACATCTTCGCGTCCGAGCAGCGTCAAGACTCGTAAAACGTTTCGTTCGACTTGTGGCTCTCTCGTGTTGCCGTACGAGCAGATGATACCGATGACTTCGAATTTTTTCGCCTCCCCCGCGAGCCTCTCGTGCAACAGAAGCATGATAATGGCGATGGCATCGTCGGCACCGCCGTCCGTGTTGACGATCAATTTTTCACCACTGCGGGACAAAGAAGTTGTCGAAAAAAATTAAAATGAAAAAATTGTTCGGAGCAATCGAAGACTCTTACCTGCATTGGTCGAATTTATGGAAATATAGCACTAAGAAAAATGCGGAAAGAAACGTTTTCATTTTATAAAAAAAACTTGATTTACATGCACAGGTAAATCATAACGAAAAAAAAAAACAGTTCCCCCGATATATAGGTGGAAAATTCGTGCTCTATCTTGGTAAAGAAAAACGTATATTTAATCAGTCACACACGAGTTGCACAAAAACTGGAGATGTTGAACTGTTATTAGCGATGATAATTTCAACCAGGAAAAAAGTATTATCGTGCGAAAAAAAGAGTCTACTTTTCACGAGGACGTATAATTGAAATTTTATGGCACAAAGTGCTCGTTGACGACTGACGATTAATTTTATATAATTAAGCTTTCGTTAATGAGCGATGAAACTTTTGAAAATCCACAAAAAATAAACAAGACCGGTGAGTTACATTTATCTTGTTTAGTGTGAAAATATTACGATTCTTTATCCTGATTAGGATATTATTTTTGAATAGTTTGTAAAAGATTAATTTAATCAGTGGAAAAATTGAGTCACATTGGCCTTTTTAAATCTAGAATTTATGAAAACAAACTTTCACGTATTAATAAATATCTAATTTGATATAAAAATCAATTTCTGGAAAGATATTTATTATGATTTTTTTTCATTTTTCAAAAAACAGAATCTTTTCTCAAACTCGAATTAATGAGAGCTATTTTACATTTTTCTAAAGTTTAAATAAAATAATTTTTTGAAAATATTAACCATAACAGTATAATACCTTATTTTTTATTAGAAATTTTATAAGCGTAGATTCTTTGCAAATCTACCCTGGAAAAATCATGCAGGTTTCACATTATTGTAAGAGTATCATAATGTTGTCGTTATGTCATGTGCAACTGACATCTGCAGGAAGGAAAATAAACACCGTGCCTGTTGTTGTGACTGTGCCGCAAAGCAAACGAAACGCGCTCGCGTTGCTTCTGCTAAATCAAAGTGTGTGCCGCAGCCGCTGCCTACGAGAGCTTGATGAAAATTTCGTCGATCTCTGCCAAGCTCGAGACGAGGAAAAGATGCTGAACGGCATCAAGAAAAAGGTATTCGAGGACAATGCAGTGCCAGCTGATGTGCGCAACGACGAGGAGCAATCCGTCAAACTTCAGCAAATACTGGAGTTGCTGACGTCGGCTGGTTACTACCGAGCCAGAATAAAGGGTTTGGCGGATTTTGACAAAATCGTGGGCGGAATGACCTGGTGCATCGAGTCCTGCCAATTCGACGTGGACGTCGATCTGCTCTTTCAAGAGAACTTGATCATCGGGCAGAAGATAGCGTTGACCGAGAAGATCGTTGCCATGCTGCCCAAAATGAATTGCCCGCACAGGATAGAGCCTCATCAGATACAGGGCTTGGACTGTATACACATTTATCCGGTGATGCAGTGGCTGGTGAGCGAGTCCATGAAGACCAGAAAAGAGATGGCTCATTACGTTCATACTTTTGCCGTTAATCAGTTCAATAAAAATAATTATTACTTCAACAAGTATCTCTTTAACAAAGATGAGCAAGAAGAGAGTAACATTGTGAAAAATGTTATGTTAGCCAAAAGTTCTCTGAACTATGACCGCAGTGCAGTTCCAAGTTCACCAGTTTATGAAGTAAAAGAAACTGATAAACAATACAAGCTAGCATTTTCTCCAGAAAAACATATTACAGAGTCTCCTGCTTTACAAGCTTCTAAAGTCTTAGAAAAACAAAAGGAGATACTCCAAAATAAGGTTGATTCTTTAACTGATGACAAAAATCAATTGCATAATAAATTTTTAGAAATAAAGGAAAAATTAAATGAAACTAGAAGGAGAAAATTGTCCTTGGAAAATATTTTTGAAAAAATGAAAGAGTCTGATTCATTTACAGATGTTGAATTATTGACAAAAATAACTGAACTTCTAATGTTACTTGATAAATTAAAAATTCAAGAAAAAGAATTCAAAGATCAGTGCCATGTGGATTTGAATTATTTTGAGGAATTAGTTAAAGAAGTTCAAACTAAGAAGCCTCAAGAAGAATTGGATCATGATGTTAAATATGAAGAACAAAAACAAATTATTCATCAGTTAAGATTAAAGCTTGCCAAAAGAAATAGAGCAGTAGCTAGTTTGATAAGAAAAATTGACGATGTTCCTAGTAGATCAGAACTCACTCAATATCAGAAGAGATTTATGGAATTATACAATCAAGTGTCAGCTAAACATAAAGAAACAAAACAGTACTATACTTTATACAATACTTTGGATGATACAAAATTGTACTACACTAAAGAACTGTCTCTCTTGAATTCTGTACAAGACAACTATAATCAGGCAATGTCATCGAGTAGCAGCAGAGAACAATTTATTAAACAGTTTGAACTCATCGTAGAAGGTGTAAGAAGAAATAAAGAAAAATTAGAAAAACGAAGAACAGAAGAAATTTGCAGACGTGATGCTTTGAGTCGTCAACTTGTTACTCTAATGGAACAGCAAAGAAAGTATGTTGCTGCTGTTAGACAACTTACCATAGAATGTCGCAATAATGAATTGTTATTAGGACGCTTGCGAGGATCATAAGTTTAAATTTATTACTTTAATTGTACATATCAATGTTGAATATTAAAATTACTTTGAAAGTTATAATTTCTCTTGTTTTAATAAATTTTTATGACAAAAGATTCCTTTAAAATATCTGAAAAATAAAAAGTTATACTGTATGTAATATTTTTAAAGCATGTAATTTTACTTCCATTGCATAAAATATTTTTTGATGGATGAATAGAGCTGATTCAAGCTGAAATTTTAATGACATTTATTATTTTACTTAAGTTATTTAAAATAATTATATCAAAAAATTTGGGAATTGGTGTGAAAAAAATTATTTAAAATTCTCTTAAAATAAAAAAGCATGTATTTACAAATTCCTGATTGCAAAGACTAAGTCTCATCAACACAGATGATAATTTTATATACATTATGTCATAATCTTTTACACAGCTTGCTCACCTTATTTGGTTTCATTTACAGTAATGTTTTCAACCATTTTCAACAACATTTTACATACATATACATCATACTTCATGTATAATAATTGATATTTTAATCGTCCAATATCTACAAAAACGTAACGTTGAGATAAATACTCTATAACATGATCGCGCGTTTTTAAAATTGATTTGAAAAATTTTTCTATTTGGTTTGTGAATACATGACTCACTTATTATTGTTGAAAAAATTCATTTACCAGATGTTAAAGATTTACCTAATAAGAATTGATATCATAGTGAAATAAATTTGTTTCTTACATGAAACGCTTTTTTTTAACGTTAAGAAACAAACTTTTTCAGCCATCCAATTATTTTCAAAACTGAACTTCCAAAAAAGACCGTTCAATCGAATTGATATTCCTACAAACTGTATTCTTCTTGAATAAAAATTTGTATTATGCTCTTGTATTTTCAAAATATGATCAAATATATTAGTAACAGCTACAGAGCTTCATTGGATATCAGGTCACTATTTCAACTTCGTCAGCAACTGGTAATAACAAAATACATCTATATTTGAAAAATTTCACAGAAATTTTTCTTTTTTTGGGTAAAAACATAGTTGTAGGTGTTATCATTAGACAAATTGTTCGCTGCTATTAGCACCCATTTCCAGCAATCGCCATGCTGCTCTGGGATTAAGTTCAGTTGGATCTCGACACAGAACCCAAACATAATTAACACGCAAAATTTTTTCTGGATCACCTTCTACAACATTATTTTTAGCGTCACGAACACACATAATTTGTTGCGATGTAAAACTAATGGCTAGAACAGGCCCTTGATCCATCATTTTTCCCATGAGTAAGTCTACATTATCTATATCTGTAATTAATGCAACAGAATATTAGTCGTGTGACAAGATTTAAAAGGAAATAAAATTTCAAATTGCAACTGTACCTAAAACTTTACTGTCCAGGCGGTAACCTAATTTGAAAGCTTGTTGTAATGGTTGTGCAATAACATTGTAAGGAGCTTCATGACACCAATCTTTTAAGATTTCAAGATCTCCACGAATCATTGCTTCAAGTACATTAGGTATTATATCAGTTTCACAATCTCTGATAAATTTAACCTTGTCGAAATTTGGATCAATTTTACAGATTTCAGTGAGAGTTTCTGATAACTCTGTTTTTTGAAAAAGACCCCCAACAACATCACTAACTTTATCGGTTAGTAATCTTGATGCTCTGAGGATGGGATTTTCCGATTCTTCGTACTTGATTTTCCAATCTAATACTTTATTTACATAAGGATTTTTGTCCTAAAAATTTTGAAATTGCATGAAAGTTATAATTAATGACAATTAAAAAGAATAGTTTTGTTTCATTTATGAATATTGTTACCTTAAAATTCTGCCACGATTGGTAAAATTTCGAATCTTTGTGTAACTCAACACCTAATGCTTCAGTATTTGCCTCAACTGGTTTTTCATCATCTGCTCCAATAATTTCTTTCCTTTTTCTTAAAACCTTTGGTGCTATGTACACTCTCCCTATAAAATTATGAATAATAGGTCAAAATAACTGAAATACATTCAACTATCAGATTGATCAAAATAGCTTACCTTGAATTCCATGTTGATCAAGTTCTTCTTGAACAACTTTAGCTGTCTTGGATATAGTCTGGAAAGCTCCAGTTTTACCAATGGCTTGACCAGTTTCAGAAATAGATTCTGCAGCCCCTTTTGCAGTTTTTGACAATTCTTCACCAATTTGACCTGCTTTTTTGCCAATTTCACTTTTACCTGCCTCTTGAATTACTTCTTGTACCTAGTTTATATTGAATGTAATTTGTGGTATAATATTCTCATACTTTTTAAGAAAGTTAAATTAATATTATTACCTTTCCTCTTATACTATCTAAACTGTCTTTCAACACTTCTGATCCCTTAGACGCCTCTGATTCTATAGAATGAAATTTTTGTCTAGCTGCTTTTAAGGCATCTGATTGTTCAAGTTTCTCTGCTTCTTCTCTGAACTTTTTTAAATTTTCCTTCATTTCTTTGTTTTTTTGCATCTCTTGTCTGATGTTGTCTACAAATTTTGAGAAAAACCCTGGAGCTCTTTGGCTTGAGTAAGAACGCAGTATTTGACTCTGAGACCATAATGACTGATTGAACCGTAGATTAGAAATTGAACAAGGAGAACTATACTTGGTTTGTATATGAACTGATCGAACAATCCCTGTCAAACTTGACTGACACCTTAAGAAATTCTGAAATTAACATAATTTGAATTTTGATTATTTTTCTCACAATGTGCAATTGAATGATAAACATACAAAACAATTCATGATCAATGATATTAGTCTATGTATTTATCCTATCTTGCAAATCACTCAAACAAGTGACTCAAAACATTTTAGACTATGACAGTCTTTGACAATCGTAAATTTAGTAATCTTATCGAAATATTAAGTAAAAGGGCCGAAGTGCGTACGAGTACATTCATCAAAACACAGAATCGCTCCGAACTGCAATCTTACGTATGCACTCGAGAATCATCGTTATGTGCACACAAGCTTAGATCACTCATCGCAACAGTTAACCTCAAGACACGATCCGTGCGACTTTTTGCCGGCTTATTTTTCGCTCTGACTGTATGTAACACGATGCAAAAGTTATTTCGATGATTAATCAATGAAAAATTGGACTGTCTCCACGAGTCATCGAGATCGTCCAACGGCCCTGCAAAGCAGTTATTTACCATTTTCCACGGGGATTCTCGTCGAGATGACACCAATCGAATTTCATGAAACGTGAGAGAAGAGGGCCAGACGAAATTCACTGTCTCTCGTCGCGGCTCGCGAGTACGCATACATGTGCAACAGAGATAGCGGACTCACGCGGGGTTGCGCACGTTGACGTAAGCATGAGTCGAGGCGCGCGACCAATTGAATTCTTACGTCATTTTTTAAAAATTGAAGTCAGCTAGATTCATCAATGAGGCGGCGAAGCTGGCCCAAAATTACTATACGAATCAAGATTTTATGAATGAATTCTACGGAACGACAGATGTGGCATAGATTTGGAGTTGAGATTTTCATTTTCATAGAGTTTTTTTTTTTTTTTTTATATATATAAAAAAATATATTTTTCAAAGCTGAATCTATATTTGAGGTTGAAAAAAAATCAGAAATCCAAAATTCACCCTCTGTATTCGGGCGAAAACCACCCCTTTGCCTTACACGATCGATTTGTATTTTCGAATGGTGAAAAAATAAGTAATAATATTGTAAAAATGAATATTCCAATCTAAAAATGAAAATTGGAAAATAATCATTGGTGCACCAAATTATTGAGTTTCGGCCTTCCAAAGATTAAAAAATGATTCTTCTATGATTTTAGATTGATTCGATTGGAATAGAATTAAAAAAACAACTATTATGACGTTCTATGACGTATATAAATTAAAACAATAGCATAAAAACTCGTTTCTTTACTTAATTATGTATGTAGTTCTACTTTTATTTTTTTAACATTGTATTACCAATCTTGAACAATAACAAGGCTGATTTATTTTATAATATATTGTATTGAAATTTACCGTATATTTTTGCGGCTTTTCGAAAGTGTACTCGAATTTTCGAACTCTATATTGCAATTGTGAATTACGCTGCAATTCTCTAACCCGTGTTTATGATAAATTTTATCAATTATCCTATCTGTTGTAATTTTCATAGGTAAAACATCGGATACATGTTAAGCAAACAATTAAAAATTTACGATCGAGCGAACGTCTCTTTCGATACCCGTCGAGATAATTTATATCATACATTATGCCGCCGACTGAAATGCATATTATGAAGTAATGAATAAATATAGATAATAGCCACAGTGAAGTCGGGGATTCACTAGTTTTAATCTTGTAATAAAATTCATCATTTTTCGTTGTTTTGTCAAAGAAGAATATTCAACATAATAGGAAAAACGAGAGTATAAGTAAACGCGGAAAACGTGTCGAGTCGAGATAGAGAAGTGCCTTCGCTGCATTCGCATATCGTCGCTGGTCAATCGTCGAAAAGAATTGTCATTTTTTATTTTTTCTTCTTCAACTTGTTAACTGTTGGCCAATACTTCGATCACTATTGAGCAATCATAAAGGTAAGATTAAACATATCGCACACATCTGATGTTTGTCTTCAATTGATTCAATATACCGTTCAAGAGTGTATAATAATCTTTTTTTCCTCATTATATTCAAATCGTAACTCGAGCCAAATACAAGTAATAAATAAACAAGCTTGTTTATTAATAAATACCATTATCAGAAATCTGATCTGCGATCCAATTTTCAACAGCGATTATCGTCGAATAAAATTAATACTTTTAAAATATTCTCATGGGCGTGTGATTGATCACACATTTTCCTTCGTTTCAGAATACAAACGATCGACGTTCAAAATGCTCGAACCTATTTTTTTCCTATCGATATTTTCGCTACTCGGATGTTATTGCGACGCGGCGGCATCCGTCAGTCAAGCGGAATTCAACGCGGCGCTGAAGGGCAACGGCTTCAAAGTTCAAAAAGCCGAGATCTACAATCACTTCGTCGAGGGTACCAAGGACTTAACTCGCGAGGAAGCAGCCATGTTCCTGGCGCAATTGTTGCACGAGAGCGTCGGCTTTGCCTTTCGCGAAGAATTAAGTACGTATAGCACTCGCTCGAAATGATTTTCTTTTCATTCGTAAAAAAAAAAAAAATTCGCACGCAGTGTGTCTGCGCGCCGGCAACGACTGCGCCACGAGGTACAAGGACAGGGTCGGGCTGCCGGGCAAGGTCTACTACGGCCGCGGCTACATCCAGCTGACCTGGGGTGAGAATTATCGGGCGGCCTCGCGCGCCCTGGGCATGGGCGACAAGCTGCTGCAGCAGCCCGAGCTGGTGGCTCGCGACACCCGACTCTCCATGCTGGTGAGCACCTGGTTCTGGAAGGCCAAGGTCAGGCCGCGACTGAGCGGCGCGAACAGGAACAAATTCGGCGCGACGACCAGGGCGATCAACGCGGGCGAGTGCACCAGCGCGAGATTGCACGAGCGAGCGAAGAAACGATGGAGGATCTACGAGAAGGTGGCCAAAGCTTTGAATGTGGGGCACAAAGCGATCGAAAATGGATGCTATAACTGATTTACGATTAAAAACTTGATTTTACAACTCGATACGATTTTCGTTTGATTTATTTATCGACACCAGAAAATCCAAATTTGAATCTTAGCGACAGAGTAGTAGGTATGGTGCGCAAAAGTATAGTTGGACCGTATTAGTAAGTAGGGCAGCTAAAATAGTTCTAATAATAGTGAATGATGGGAGAGAAAAAATTTCGTGTCTGATTTTTTTACGGTACCCACATTAGTATGCCTATTGTAAACACATCGAGTCGCTTGTGTGCTGCTCGGGTATTACAGAAAAAGAAAATTTGTCATATTACTCGTAATAATAGTTTTTTTGTTAAAAAAAAAAATTATCGATCATTAAAACGTAGCAGTAATGATTTTACGGTCGATGGATCAAACATAATGTGTAAAGCATATCTGTGAATTACGTCTTATATGAAAAAAGTGAAAATTTGAGCTATTACAATCTTATTAAAATGGCGCGGTACGTATACTTTTCACTCAGATTTTTGACTCTCTTGCGTGTTCATCGAGGTATGTATGCATTTTTTTTGTAGCGATGTCATATCGCGAAGACAACTTCTCGACATGAAATCCCGAGAATTCCTGCACGAACTCGTGGACGAGGCGAGCTGGAACTTGGACGAGATGAAGATCGAATTCGTCGAGGATCGTTGCCGCATATTCCAGCGCGCGAGAGTCATGAAGTTCCAACTGGGTCGCGAGCGTAATCAACCCGAGCCGAGGAGCAAGAAACATCCGTTGTTTCGCGCGCTCTTCCACATCAATCTGTACGAGGAGAAGCTTGGCAACGCGAGCGAGGCGAGCTCGTACGCGCGATACACCGACGTCAAGGGCCCCAACGACGACGACCGATCTGGTGTGTCCCATCATTTCATGATCACGAGCGTGTGCGCCAACTCGCACGCCGATCGTTGGTTCCGCCTGAACGACAAGCCCAGCGGCCTCGCTGCTCTCGTGGCCATGATCGAGAACTCGGTGCTGCCCGATCTGCACTCGGATCGTCCGTGGTGGAAATTAAGGCCGGAAGCGCAGCGACTGATGGGTGGCACGTGCGACTGCGAGGACGACGCCAAGCAATTCATGCACTCGCAGAAGGTGTTCAAGGGTGCTTGCGAGCCGACCAAGTTGAAGTACCGTCGAAAGGCACAGCTCGGTCGTTTGAAGGATTTTCTCTCGACTCGTCGATTCGTTTGCCTCAAAGGTGCCATGCACCAGGTTATACTCTCGTACTCGAGTCCCGTCGTTGGCGGTCCGTTCGACGGAGCGCAAACGATCGTCGAGGACTCGGCCGGCGCCGAGATGGTTCGTTTGCTCGTCGAGGCGGGCTGCGATCCCAACGACGAGGACGACTCGGGCATAAGCCCGCTGCAGCTGGCCGTGTCCCACTGCAATTACGACGTGGTCAAGGCGCTGCTGGAGGCCGGCGCGGACCCGAAGAACATCACCTTCGAGGCGGGCTTGTTCGAGCGCCGATCCGAGTACAATTTATTGGTGCTCATGAGTCTCGTCGACATACTGGCGATTCTGCGGCAGTACGGATTTCGCTTGAACGACTCTCATTATTATCGAGTTATGCGATTCTTGGTGGACCCGGATTGGAGACCCTTGCATTTTGCCATGCCTATAGAGGCCTTGATACATCGTAAGTCGAATGTGTGTTTTTATGAATGATCATAAATTCTTTATCGTTTTTATTTTTGCAGTCACGGATAAAAAGGTTCGTACCTATTTAGAAAAAATCATCGATTACGATTGCCCAATCAAGTACGTATACGCGGCGGCCGAAAAGATTCAACTGATCCTGCGATTGGTTCAGGAAAATAATTGGTACCTCGATGAAAAAAGGATAAAAATATTGCAAGACTACCTGTCGACGATGAAGATAATTTTAGGCATAGACTTGGATCACGATCAGATAAAATCGGAAGCCGAGCGTTTGGAAGAAAATTTACAGAAAATGAAGACGAGCGACGGCAAAAAGTACAGCGACTTCGTGAAACACAACTGCAAAAAGGCGGCCGAGCTTTTCCTCGAACGCGACTGGCGGGAAATGAGCGAGTTTTTCGAGGAGACGAAGCCGTTCGAAGAGAGGGAGGAATCGGCCAAAACCGTCGTTAGACTCATCAAGGCGTACGTCTTTAGGAGCTTGAGAAAAAGGTATTTAAAAATGACCGCGGACGTGTTTTGGCGAAATAACGAGGATATGCGACATATAGTGCAAGCCGTTCCGGAAGTACGAGATAAAATTGAGCAACACTTGGATGACAATGACTTTTTAACCATGTACGAGTCAGCTTTACCCAAAAAGAATCCGAACGCCGAGATTGAAATGTTCGAGATACCGCAAATTTTTATGGGGAAAACGGATGACGTTATGTACAGATATTGCTGGTACAAGACGTATCCGAAAATCCCTCAAGTCTGATCATACCTTCTTTTGCGACTTGTATAGACAAAAAAGGAGACTTACTCAGCTCAGATACTCGTAAAAAATTTTTTAAATGAAGGCTTCTATGTTTAGTTTGAATTTAATAATACTTAGGGGTCTTTGAAAAATGACAGCCTTTGCTAAAAGTTTGTTTGTAAGTATCTGTATGTTGTATGCACGAGTAAAATGTTTGTTATATCTGTTCATTAGTACTTACTGGGTAGCGTTGTGTTCTACAGATTTAAATCATGTTTTACAGTGTCAGAAGATGTGTTCAAATAATTTATCGAATCAAAAAATTTTACAAAGAAATTAGAATATTAGGTGGATTTTTCTATTTATGAACGATTCACACGTAACAATAATTTACTACTTTAAAGTATATATGTTGAACACGTTGAGTATTTTTTGAATGTATGTGTATTTAATTTTTTAAGAGATATACGATTGTTTATTGTTTACTGTGTACTTTTTGGGCGAATAAATTCGAATTTATAAGAAAAATATTTATAACATGAATTATTCACGACAATGTAGTAAAAAAACTTTTTATCTAAATTGACCCGTTTATTATTTTATTATTGGTCAAAACTTTTTTTTTAGATTTTAAATTCAACTCCTTGTACGAATAGTTTTCTACTTTTACAAAATGTTGATTACGGTTAAAGAACCGGTGTAATCGAGATCTCGCATCTGATGTTTGTTTTTCAGTGACTTATAAGGTCTCGATCAACTATACTGTTTATAAGAGTGTGCATAATCATCTTTTTTTTCCTGATTATATTCAAATCTTAATTCAAGTCACTCGAGCAATAAATAAAAAAGTTTATTTGTTAATAAATAACATTATCAAAAATCTGAGTGATTTAATTTTCAACCGCAATTTGTCGAATAAAATTAATTATTAAAATATTCTATTGAACCTGATTGTTTACGTATTTTATTTAGTGCAAGCATAACGTGATAATACGTGATAATCAACATTATCGAAACTTCTTAACTTATTTGAATGATTAACATTTTAATAATTTGATTTTAAATTCAATTGTAAATTACAAAGAAATTCATTTGATACTCAAGTTATTCAAAGATTTTGTATTGATAAAAGTATTGAGGAAGGGGATAAAACAATCATAAGAGATTTTACTAATTTTTGATGAGATCTGGAAAACATTTTTCATGAATTAAATAATTGAATGGTTTCCACATTAGTTTTTTCAAGAAGAGTATATTGTTATTACGTATCACATCTCTTTTAGCAGTAATAATGAAACAGAAAACTTATAAAAATTTTTTCCTTGCTCATGTTTGATAATTGACGTCAAGTAATATTATTATGTTAGTTATTCAATCAAATCAAAGTAATCAAATCCAGTAGCCAACTAAATGCTCACCCCATGTACAGCTCCAAACAAGCCGTATCAAGAAAAACCTTGGCTGATTGTTCCTCGAAGAACTGCAGGAACCAAGTAGCCAAAAAATTCATGAAAAGAAGCAAGTAACATTTGTGTGGTTAAAAAATAAAGCCCAAACCATGCCAGTAAACAGAGGTGAAAAATAATAGTTGATAGCACGAGATTCAGTTCTAAGACACAATGATTTCGGCATAATTTTTATTGAAATTTTAAAAAAACATGTATAAGCACCTACACATTTTTACAATTGTCAATTATTATTTCTTCTTAATTTCGTAAAATGCGCATCATCTTTCAAATTTCTTTTTGGTGTCTAAGCAAACCATCTTTGTTAAAATTTTTTCGCTCATTTATTGCATGTGAAATCTCTGCGCCTTTCATGTACTCTCTTTATGTGGGTTCGCCAATTTGATTTTTGTGCAAATTTCTTCTCGCACTTGTCGCATGCGTAATTCTTACGACCATCGTGTACTATTCTTTGGTGTTGCACTAAATTGCATTTAGTTCCGAATTTCTTCTCGCACTCGTTGCATGCAAAATCTTTGCGACCTTCATGGACTGTTTTTTGGTGCTGTAACATAATCCATTTTAGTCCAAATTTCTGTTCGCATTTGTCACATGCAAAATTTTTTCGACTTTCGTGAACTAATAATTGGTGGGAGAGTAAATGACTTTTTCGTCCAAATTTCTTCTCGCATTTATTGCATGCAACATCTTTGCGATTTTCATGGACTGTTTTTTGGTGCAGTAACATAATCCATTTTAGTCCAAATTTCTGCTCGCATTTGTCACATGCAAAATCTTTTCGACTTTCATGAACTAATATTTGGTGGGAGAGCAAATTACTTTTTCGTCCAAATTTCTTCTCGCATTTATTGCATGCAAAATCTTTGCGATTTTCATGAACTATTTTTTGGTGTGAAAGCAAAGTCAACTTTTGTCCAAATTTCAGTTTGCATTTGTCGCATTCGTAATCTTTGCGACCTTCGTGTACTATCCGTTGGTGCTTGATAAAATCCGATTTTTTCCCGAACTTCTTCTCACACTTGTCACAGACGTAATCTTTTTGTCCTTCATGGATTGTCTTTTGATGGAACAGCAAAGAATGTTTACGTCCAAATTTCTTCTTACACTTGTCGCATGCATAATCTTTTCGACCTTCATGAACTATTTTTTGG